TAAAGTTTTAATAATATTATATAAAATATAAAAGTTATTTAATAAGTAGCTTTTTTATATTATTTAAGCCTTTATTATTTCTTAAGTTAGCTTATAATATTTATTATTATTAAGCATTATTTAAAACTAAAAATAAGCTATGCTTAATAAATAAAAAGGTAAATTATAGCAAAGCTAAGCTATATAGCGGAAATTATTTTATAAATATAGCTTGCATTAATTAATAAATCCTTAAAGGTCTTTTTAAATAATAACCTTTCCTTTAACTTTAAATACTTAAATTAAATCTTAAAAGTTATTTTAATTCTTATATAATTTAAATTGCTTAATAAATATATTTTTAAAGTTTTAATTATTATAAAAGCTATTATATTTAAGTAAGTAATTATTATTTAATAAATCTTAATACCCTTAGCTATAATTATATTATTAATCTTTATTATTTTTTAATTAATAAACTTAATAAATATAATAATTATTTAATTTTAAAGTTTTAATTATATAATTCCTATTTTCTAAGTTATTAGTAAAAAGGGCTTTAATTATAAAAAATCCCTTACCTTAATTAAAGGCTTAAAGCGAAATAAGGTTTATTACTTAATTTAAGCTTACGCTAAATAATTATAAATAATATAGCAATTTGCTTTTAATAAATTTATAAGCCTTTGCCATTATGCCAATTCTTACTTAGCTAGCCTAAAATGCTTAAAATAATATTACTCTTATAACTATTTATTACTCTTAATTCATTCCTTTTATAAAAACTTATACTTTATTTAATTAAAGGTATTTCTTAATTAAGCTAAAAATTATAAGTTTTAAAGGCTTATAAAGATTTAAAAAGGCCTTTATTTAAATATATATAATATTAATACTTTAAGTTTCTTTATAACTCCTTAAGTTTAAGCATAAAGATTAAAATTTTAATAATAATTTAGGTATTAAGCTTAATTCCAAGGGATTTTAAGAGTTTTTAATAAGCTTTATATTTTTAATGCCCTTTATAAATCCTTTAATTATATAATTAAGGTACTTATTTATAAGATATAAATTTTATATATTATAAGTTAATAAAGTAAAGTATATATAATTTAATAGCTAAAAATATTATTTTATTAATATTTTATAATTTAATAAAGTAATAGCTTAATAAAGCTTTTATAAAAACTTAATATATCTTAATTAAAATTAATTTAACTAAATCTTATTTAATAATTATTAATAAATAGCTATATCTTTATAATAAACTATTTAATATAATTAATAATAATAAGCATACTTTTTAGCTAGCTTTAAGTTTGCAAAGCATTAAGTTTAAAGATTATCTTAAAATACCCTTAAGGAAGTTAAGCTTACTATTTAAGCCTTTAAAACTTAAATATTAATTTTAATTATTACTTACTTTTTAGCTAATTTAAATTAAAGATTTTATAACCTTAATAAATTATATATATTAAAGTAATAATTATATAAAAGCTGCTAAACAATAAATATTACTGCGGTATTTATTAAGCACCGCTCCTTCTTAATTATAAAAATTAAAAAAATATTTACTTTTTTAAATATTATAACTTATAGCTTAAATAATTATAAGAAATTCTTTATTAAATAAAAATTAAAGGGCAGCAATAAGAATATTAAGGGAAATTATACATTAAGTTTATATTTTATTCACAGCATATTTACTATAAATTCATAATAAGCCCTACCTTTTCTCATTTAATTAAAAGGGCTTAAATTAATGCTTACTTAACCTATTAATTATTAAAAATCTTATAACTCAATTCATAAATATTAAAATATTATAATAATAATAACTATAATTTACTTAATCCTTTTATAAGGTAATTACATAGCTAAAACATATAATTATAACTATTATTTTAATAAAAATAAAAATATAAAATTAAATAAATCCCTTATGTTTAAGATAAATACATAGGGAATTTATTAATCTATATATATATATAGTAAATTTACTATAAATTCACTATAAATATACCATGAATACTAATATTTATGGTAAATTCATGGTAAATTCACAGTAAAAATACCATAAATACTAATATTCACGGTAAATTTACTTGGAATGATTCATATTGCATTATATTACTTTTATTATTATAATAATAATAAATAAAAAGTAATAAAATTAATATTAATACTTATAATATAATAAGTTTTGCAAACCAGCCCAACTTATTTATACTTATTATACCTTAATATAAAATATTAATTTCCTTTATAAATCTTATATTAATTATAATAATAATATTATAAATAAAAAAATAAAAAGTTAAATTATTTAATATAAAAATTATATTATATTTATAATTTTTTTTAATAATATTATAATAATTTAAAGTTAATGCATATATATATTATACTTGCCTTAACTTATACCTTTCCTAGCTATATAAATTACCCTTTTCATTACCTTTTATTTAATAATAAAAAGCCTTTAATGCTTTAAAGTAATAATAATTAAATATATTATATAATTAAAAGATTATAAATTTAATTTTATTGCTTTAAATTATTAAAAAAGTTATTATTATTAAACTTTTTTTTATTATTTAATAATATTTACTTATTACTTTTTTACATTATTAATACTTAATAAAGTAATTTTATAAAACATAATTATAACTTATAAATAGCCTTAATATTTAATAATTAATTAATATACTTTTTATTTAAATTAAAGCTAATTTAACTTAGTTATTTTATATTAATGCTAGCCCTTTATTTAATTACTTTATTATAAATATTAACTTATACCTTCCCTTATTTATAAGGCTATTACTTCTTAATAAAATGCATTAATTATTAATTTAGCTTATTAATTAATTAAAATAACTATAATTAAACTAAGTATATAATAAAGAAATTATAAGTTTAATTATAAGTATATTAATTAAGCATTAAGTTAACTTATAATTAATATACTTTTTATATATACCCCTTATTTTAATTACTTAAAGCAACCACCTTCTCAATATTATATATATATAAAATATTACTTATTAAATAACGTAAAAATAAGGTTATTTAATATATAAATTATATTATATATATAACTTTTTTTAATAAAGATATAAATATATAAAATTAATTATTTAAATATTAAATGCATTAATATAATAAATTATTATCTTATATATTAAGTATATTTAATTACCTTTAAGGTAAAAACCTTTTAATAAACATTTAAAAATAAATAATATATCATTTAATTCATTTAATTAAGCTCTCTTTTATAATATACTTTTTATAAATATATGCCTTATAATTATTAATATATGCTATATTATAATTAAAGCATTATAATAAACTTAATTAATAAACATAACAGCATATATTATTAAAAGCACTTAAGTTACTTATATATTATAATGCTTATAATAATAATTAAAGCTTAAAAAATATATACGTTATTAATGCATGCATTAAAGTATATAATTAATTAGCTATTTAATTAATTTAAGCTTGCTTTAATTTAAAAACCATAGCCTTTTAAAAATAACCCTAAATTGCTTTTATATTTAAAGCAACCTTATATATTAAGTTAATAAAAAACTACCGCCAATTCTCTTATATATATTATTAATCCTTATAATATTAAAAATAGCAATAAATATGCTTTTTTAAATTATTAAAGAATACCTTAATTAAATTAAGATTAAGTAAATATAAAGGTAAATACTTAAGCTAAACGTTAGCCTTATTATATATTTATTAAAGGTTTTTATAAAAATAAAAATTAACATTATTTATTATTAACATTAAGTTAAGCCTTAAAAATAATAATATCTTAAGTAAAACCTTATTTTTAATATAATTAATAAAGCCTTAACTATTTATATTACCCTTATATATAAATAAACTAAATATATTTATAATTATAAATATTAAAAGCACTTAATGCTATATATTATAATTTTTATTATTATTAAATATAAGTTTCTTTAGCTTAACGCCCTTTAGCAATTATCTTATATATTATAACTTATTTCTTTTATTTATATTAAACTTATTAATAAAGATAAATTAATTTATATAAAATTCTTAAATCTTAATAATTTAATTAACTTAAATAAGATAATCTTATTAAATAATAATTATACTTATAATTTTTTTATTTTATTTAACTCCTTTAAGTATTTAGCTAATAATGCTTTAAGAAATAAATAAATTAAAGTTATTTAATAATTATTATTATATTTTATTTTAATATAAATTATTTTTTAAAGCAAAATAATTAAAAAAGGCTTAAGTAATAAAAATATATATTAAAAAGAGTAAATATTTAAGATTTAAATAATATATATTATAATAAAAGTTAATTAATTAAATAGCCTTATATAAGTTGCTTAGCTTAATAATAATATTAAATATTAAATTTTTCTTTTTTAGCTTTTAAATTTATTAATTAAAGTACTTTATAATTTTTATAATAATAGCATTATTTACTTAATTAATATTTAGCAGCCCTTAAATTATATAAAGCTTTAAAAAGGTTAAGCGGTAAAATATAATTATAAAATTATTATAAATTAATTTATAATAATTAAAATATATAGCATAGTAAAAGGCATGGCATTATAAGAGTTATAAGATAAGCAATTATACTTAATAATTAAAAAGGGTATGGCATAATAAGTGTATATAATTTTTAATATAAGGTGTTATGTATAGGCCACTAGCGCCAAAATGGAACGTTTGATTGCATATGAGAGTACTAATGGCGGTCTTCCGTTTCAAGTGCAGATGATAGATTCAACGATTTCGGACCAGATAGACTTGAAAGAGGCGCTTCTCCGCATATTAGTGACTTCGCCGGATAACTTTCGCGCATTTTTCAACAACCTGCACGGCCCTGTCAAGACAAGAAGTTTATTGCTTGGGAAGTTGTGGTGCGGGTCTGGGACGTCTGCATCATACTCAAAGGCGTCAATTCTCAGAGAGTGCCGACAAGCTCTCAGCCACACCTGTGCATCATGAAGCAGATGCTGGACGATATTCCTGAAGAACGCTCGCATTTCAACTTTCCACCGCTTGGAGAGGTTGATTACTCCTATGTCGTGTATGCACCACTGCAGCAGTTCTCGTAAGTCTCGGTTGACATCATCCTCATTGTGTGCTCGTCATTTCATGTCGTTGTGCCTCTTTTGTCGCTGGCAGCTGCCGGCTCAGCTTACTGGTTTCGTCTGAGCCAGCCCCAAATCTCGTCGAGCAGGCTGTCGAGGCGCCAGCCAAATTCTTTGCATATTTCCCCGTGCTGATTGAAAAAGCCACGGTCAGTGATCCATAGACCGTGGGCGACGCAGCTGGCAAAGAAACACACGTTGATTATCCCGAGCGACCCTAACAGCGGTGCGTTCCTGCAGAGAAAACACCAGTCTCAGGGGAAGATGTCGCGGCGTTCTGTTGCGGACACGAGAAGGAGCTCATATCCGAAGACATGGGCATACTAGCTCTCCTCCCAATCTACCGCATCTCGGACACGGAGTTCGGCCACGGGAATAAATAATCAAGTTCGGCGCTGTCGACCGGCCCGATGCTACACCCGATTTCACGGAAGCGACACGACTCCGGATCACCAGTTGTACTGTTGCAATGCGAGATCATGTGGCCCACACGGGTGCGTGCGGGAGCGTTCTTGATTATTGAACTTGATTCATGTGTTATGCGAGTGCTGGGGATGTCCCAGAAGCTTATTCGAAGGGGGTCATATACTGTGTGGTCCGTAAGAGCCGGGGAAACGTTTCCTGATTGACGACCGCTACGTGCTTGGGCAAAGACTACGGATACAAACAGTAGGCCGAGGAGACCGCTCCTCAGTGCCACACAGTACTAATAGGAATATTTTCTCCCACATACAAACTGTGCTATTATTCCTCAAATCCATGGCAAATGCCGTAGTACTTTTCGGGAGACCTTGCACTAAGGCTAGCAATTTCCCGGGTAAGAACTATTCCATCAGAAAATTAGTCAATCACAATGAGTCAGTCAGGAATCGTATTGTATGGTTACATGTCAACTCGTCCTACAACTATAGAGTTTCATTACTAAGTAAGAGTCGTCTGTGACCTACATTGCAGTGACAGCGCGCGGTGCTCCTATTAGAATATAAGGTGACCGCAATTTTAGAATGACCCGTGCTATCGCACTCGGAGAGTGAATCAACTCGAAATACGATGACTGATTGGAATCTCTGAGTATTTGCGGGGCGGAGAGTCCGAGATGTCTGGGTAGCGTCGTGTCCTACGGGATCGTGAAGGAACATCACGACATCCTGCGTGTGGTTCACTGAAGTATGGCAGCTATGAGAGGGCCTGTCTAGAAGATCGATTTTGTACATATAAATAAACGCTGTACCTTTTCCGAATTTCATGTCTCTGGAGACGTGGCTTTAACAATTACTCGCTCACTCCAAATGACTCTCTCCCCCTTTGACTTCACCACTTTCGTTTTGAGTTCTGTTTAGACGCGGCCACGTTCGAGCACCTTTCACACAGATTATCTCGAAAATACCACTGTCTCCTAATCTCATTTCAAAATGGCGCCTTCAACCTTTATTTCAGCCATATTTATTGTTTATCATCTCCAGCAGCCGCCACTCCACTCCTGTCTCGAGAAACAAGTGCCAATGTCCCTGGGGAATGTGCTACACTTCACCAGCGCAAAGCATGGCATCAGCTTACCGACGCGGACAAGGCTGCGTATATCGAAGCAGAACTCTGCTTGATGAATTCTCCGCCCAAGACTGGTCATCCGCTGGCCCAGAATCGATGGGATGAGTTCACCATCACCCATACAGTCCAAACGCAATGGGTCCACGATGTTGGTGGTTTCCTGCCCTGGCATCGTTATTTTACACTAGCACATGAGAACGCCCTCCGCAATGATTGCAATTATACGGGATACCAGCCGTATAGGGAAGAGACTCTCGACGTGGGAGAACTTGCATCAAGCGTCTTGTTTGACCCAGTCACAGGTTTTGGTGGTCAGGGTGGAGAGTGCTTGGATGATGGGCCGTTTTCTAATCTAACGATTCACGTCAGCTATAATGTCACCAGCCTCGAGTTTTACACAGATAATCGCTGTGTATCCCGCTTCTTTGATAACGAGTTCTTTCTCCGCGCAAACCAGACTAGCGTCGACAAGTGTTTTGCTATTGATGACGGCACTGTTGCCCTTGATTTTTATTGGGCGGATCCACACTTTGCTGGCCACGGCGGTGTCGGTGGAACGATGGCAAATTCCGCCGCTTCAATCGGGGACCCTCCCTTCTTCCTTCACCACGCCTATGTTGACCGTCTGTGGTGGGAGTGGCAACAGGCCGACCCGGACACAAGAACAAACCCCATTGGATCTCTTCGAAATCACCCCTCAGAGGCTTATCTAGCAAGAGAGTCTTTGCCGGCGCCTGGTTCAGAGTTTCTAGATTATTCAGGAGATAATGGCGGGAACATCACCACTTTGGGCCATGTGCTTTGGCTTGCGGGTCTTGAGCCGAACGTTACAATTGCGGATGTGATGGATTTGAGCAACAGCCTTAATTGTGCTGAGTATGTCTAGGCTGAGTCTCTACACCTGGTTTGGACCAGGGGACCAAACCGCTAGCAGAAAAGGGCTTCCATATGTTTTGCAAGTTTTGTGCGTCTCGGAGTATAATTCAATAATACAAGGTGTGTCAGTCCCTGAAATTGCATTTCATCTTTGTGAAGTCATGTAGCAGATCGTCATGATGTCGAACCTCCCGTTCACAAGTGATTGAAACCGTCAGCGCAATACTCTTTATTCATATTGATCATCTCAATATATGTAAGGAAAGCCTCTATCAAGTTACTATTCTGAAGACATATACATGAATCCAAGTAGTGGTATGATCATTTTCAGACCCGTTATTGCTTACTACTCGACTTCAATGTGTACATGACCCGGATTCCCTAGGTTTAGGGGACTCAGAATCCAGGGGTCACCACTTATCTATGTCGTTTTATCTTGAGCTTGAAATTCGTGCAGTCAAAACTAAAACGTGAATCGTCACTGCTATACCACACCTCTTTCCAAGGCCATCAAGGGATGAGTGGTGATATCAAGGCCATAGTGGTTATGGAAACCCTAGCAGTAGATTGTAGCCCCAATTCGAATCCAACAATCGGGACCACTGAGGAAAACGCTACCTGTCCACACTACTGAGTACCGCAACTGCCAAGCCTGTTTGCTAGCCGCCGGCAAGATGGAGAAGCCAGGACTGTAGCATGTCTTTCGATGCAGATGATAGAAACGCTGTATCCTCGCTCGGTGTTTTGGGCCAGACAGTTCAAGCACGGTGCTGACAGAGAGATTGCGGAGGCGCCTTTCGTAGGGCAAGGGATGAAAGGGAGAACTTTTGTGGGAACCAAGACTTGTGGATTATTATCCAACACCTTCCGAGCACACAAGCCTGAAAAAACGGTGCAGGGTGTAAATTAAACAAAAACAGCGCGCGATCCCGCAGTACAGTGAACACCGAGGGGCATTCTAATATTGAAGATCGGGGCTATGTACGGACGTCGGCACTGTTGGTTGAGCGAGAAGCTTTAACCTGGAATTTGCTTGCAGGGGTCTGTTCAACCCCGCGCGAATTCAGATCCCGACCCCTTCCCTTTTTTGTTTATCATAATGAATTGTAGATGGGTGAATGATTATCTTGAGACCAGAATTCAAGGCTCAAGGCCAGATTAGAGTTTCGAAATTGGCCGAAGCGACGTCTGTATCCACCATGTAACACTACTTCGGATGACGGGTGGTTGAGCCTGCCCGAATTCGGGGTCCCGGACCTCTCCACCGAAGAAGCTTCCTTCTAACCTGAATTAGGCCAGAAGATCTGCAAGTAGCCCGAATGACTGATGTCGAAGCAATGCCTGATCTCTTTGTGGTCACATTGAGTCACGTATGATATCACCAGGGTGTCCCCCAAAAAGCAAGCAAATAGAGAAAACGGAAACGTATTTAAACAGCACGTTTAGAGATCAATAGAGACCTTGCTCTTCGGGTTTTATATAAATGTATCCAATGCCCTTCCATCTCGATCAGAATAGTATGACATCGGAGACAAGCAGACACAGATCAACACGCTTATAGGAAAACATAACCAGGCATCTCTTTTTCAAATTCTTTTTCCCCATTTAATCTTCTCTTTGAATGTCTTTGTTCAAGATCCAAAGCATCATGTATCATTCTTTCCGCTACATTGCATTCACCGTGTTCGGCCTGGTCAGTACTGCCGTAATAGCCACGCCTTGTACACCTGGACAGTGGATCGACTTGGCCTCGATTCCGTCCCCCCGCCAAGAGCACGGTGTCACGGCAATTGAAAACACGACTATCGCAATTGTCGGTGGCGATGTTCCTGTTGGAAACGTTTCGGAGACCACCGATTTGATTCAGCTCTATGATATTGCGTCTAACACGTGGACCACTGGATCCCCAATCCCTTACAAAGTCAATCATCCAAATGTCGTCGGAGTAGGGCAAAAGCTGTACTTACTCGGTGGTCTAGCTTCAGGCTCCCTGAGTCCAGGCCTGACTCTCAATTTGGTGGCCTCCGGGGACTCTTACGTATATGACGCCTCGACAGACGTCTGGACCGATCTCCCTCCCATGCCGAACGGTACAGAAAGGGGAAGTGCGATCGTCGGTGTTCACGATGGAATCATCTACCTTGCTGGTGGAATGACAGTGCTTCAGAGCGGATACCAGGACGCAGTCAATTCTGTCATATCCTTCAACACTACCTCTAATGAATGGCAGAGACTACCTGCACCTGCTGCTGAGTTACCTGAGAGTCGCCAACATGCAGCTGGCTCGGTTGTCGGCGACGCCTTTTATGTGTTCGGCGGCAGATGGTATGGTCAGGCGAATACTCGTAACACGGTCTTCAGGCTTGATCTGACAAATCAAACAACTGGCTGGCAAACGAGTCCAGTTATGCCGACTGCTCGTGGGGGCATCAGTGGAGGTGCGGTGGGAGCGAAATTCTACGTATTTGGTGGTGAGGGAAATCCGGAATCTTCCACGGGGGTCTTCAATCAGTCCGAGGTCTTCGATACGGAATCTCAAGAATGGACCGTGTTAGAGCCCATGAAGGTGCCCCGCCACGGGACACAAGCAGCTGCGGTGGGTAGTTTGGTGTATATTCCGGGAGGTGGACTCCAACAGGACGGAAAGGAGGTTGTGGTTGATGGGGCCATATCATACCAGCAGCCGACGGCGCACTTTGATGCTTATTGTACTTGAGGATGGATAGTCCGACTCAACGGGAAAATGGAATATGCACGTTCCTGGTATTTATAACCTTGCAAGATTATCTACAACATGAATATAAGTATATGAGAAGTACTCTCAGATCCTAATCATCCTCTTCTCTTGCATCTCCCAGCTCCCTTAAGTGTGTTGGTGCTGCGCAATGTGCGTCAAGAACATTTGAATTGTCGAGGAACTTCAACTCGAGCTGCAACCATCCGCTCCACCCAATGGCGGGTGATGCCAACATGTGTTCATCATCACCAATGTATTGCTCTACGATGCTTTTGGCCCGATGTGTACATATCCCGCGGTGTCTAAGGCCTTGGCACGTCTTGATTGTGCAAAGCACGGCACGATGGAACTCGAATGTGCTCGTTTATAGACATGCCCCCTGGGCCGCGGAGTTGCCTCTGAACATACAGTTGCGTTTCTTCTCCCTCGCTGCGTACAAACCTCGACAGTGCATGCCCGAGTTCGAGTCCGTCGCAAGATGACCCACCCCGTGGCAAAGATACTGGGCTGACACGTATCTGGGAGGATGACGGCATCATCCGGAGGAGCCTGCGTGAGGGGGGACACATTGCGAGGACAGACCACTGATTCACAAACAGCTCAAAATGCATGTCCTGTGTTATTAATTCACCAGCCGCTCGCCTTATCTACTAGGTAGGGTAAAAATGGGTTAATAAAAGGCACCGTTGGCTTGTAAGTACCGCCTTTAGGCCTTGTTTATTGTCAGCTCCCGTGGATACAGTGCATCCGGATAAAGACGCCTTGACATTTCGGTTGACTTCATGAAACAAATTCTTGGAATTACCAGCCTAAGGCACTTGGACAGGTCTCAACATCTGGCTCGGCCCACTCAGTACGAGAATCAATGTCTAGCCATGTAAAATGGGGAAGTACAAGGTTCGTTCTGTTTCTAGGACAGACCTACATCTTGACACAACCCGGAAACACGGGTGGTGATAACGAAGCCTTTCGTATAGAACACCAGCGAGTGATGGATATGGATGTTAGAATAAGTCGAAAGGATAGTTTGATGTATGTTCATCATCTACCCGGAGAGACCCCGCCTAAATTGATTCCCCTTATTTTGAGCTGGAAAACGCTGCGAGGAGAAGCAAAAGTAATTGTAAATCTATTCTACTTTGCTACCTGCTTTGAAAGCATCCAACTCGCTCGTCCAGTCATTCTCGGTGATCCCTAGGTCCCAGTCCAGCAAATTCAACAAGTGCTTTCCAAATAGGTCCATTTCTGCCTGTGAGAAACCTGGCTTCGCCTTCAATGTACACCAGAGATGAAGTAGCCCAGTGTTGTGTTAAAGATGAGTCAAGATGTTGATATGCTGGAAAGTGTCATGTCTCGTCATATATTTTTGTACTCGATAGACATTAACACTAATTCAGGGGTCTATCACTCTTTGCGGCCACTTCTTCGGAGCTCACATCAAGTCCAGGTCTACTAGGTATAAACCAATCAATCAGAGAACCAATTGAGTCAATCCTCCTTCATGGTCGAAGCCGTGAACTGCTGAATGAGAACCTGCGAGCACTCCAAGATCTCCTCGTCGTTTTCCCCCCCACCAGCACCGCACAACCACCTGCTACTGACCCTGACCTTCCACGGGACACCGTTCGGGCCCTGACGCCCCCTGAACTCGGCCGCGAGTCTCTCAATCCTGCCTTCTCGCCGAACCATAGCCTCCGCGTATGGCATGGCGCGGTAGTGCCCTTTCACGACCCGGCAATCATAAATCCCAAGCCTCTGTAGGGCGTCGTCTCTCTTCAGATTCAGAGAACTTACGAAATCGTAAGTGGTGCCACAAGTGCTGTCTGCAGTTTTTCTCCCCGGGAAACTACACCTATGGAATCACCTAGACCCTGGTCATGAATAAAAGGGAAGGAGAATTGAAAAGCCACGGTCTCACAGTAGCCAGAAGTTCCATGTTCTGGAAGGAGATACCCTCTCTAGCCGGGCCACCCCATCTACAATCTCACAACCTCAAACCGCAACCACCGATGTTCCTCCCCAGAGAAATACTTTCCCCCAGCATCATGAATCATCTCCTCAGTAACCTTGACCTCCCACCTCGTCCCAGTCTCCCTCCCGACCTGGTCCCACATCTCCCTGAAGCTCTCGGTATCATGCAGATAATGGGTTCGCTTCAGACCCCCAATCCGTCCCAGCGGACCCCTAGCCTCCTCCCCCCTCCGGCCCCCAGAAGCCAAGCTCACGCCCCCAGACAGACCGACCAACAAGCTCCCAGGCTGCGGCCGCAGGAGCGCGACGATGCGCCTGCAGGCGCGCACCTGCGTCGGCAGCTCAAAGCAGTGGAGGAACATGCTCGCGTGCACGATGTCAGCGCCGCCCACCCACGCCCGCAGCGGCGAGGCGTCCGACTCGTCCAGGAAGTCAGCCGCGACAAAGGCTTTACCGGCATCGGCCACATCTCCCAGGGGCAGCGCCTCGGCGTCGCGGAAGAGGTCGTGGCCGCAGGCCATCAGCCCGGCCTGAAGATCCGTCCCGCGCAGCTGGGCCGCGGGCGCGCCATCGGCGATGAGCTTGCGGACGTCCTGGGCGAGGCCGCAGCCTGCCTCGAGGTAGACGCTGGATGGGTCGGACTTTAGGCGGGAGAGGATGGCTGGGTAGGCTGGGAGCTTGCTCAGGGCGAGCTCGGCGAAGAGGTACGAGCCCACGCAGGGGAAGGGGGCCTTAAGAGGGGGATTGTCAGCGGGGCGGTCGCGGATCGTGGGGACACGGTCGGGGGACTGGGTGGCCTACCACTCTCCACGCCTTGTCGCGTACGGCTTGGACGTGCTTCTCGACGTCTTGAGGCAGGATATTGGCGTAGTTGGTGATTAGCTCGCGGAATTCGGGCTGGAGTTGGGGCGCTTCGTGGCTGTACCACGGGACGGACATATCGAGCAAGGCCTCCATTTTATTGGCAGAGATGCTGGCGCTCGTTGGCGTTGGGGAGAACTTTGTGTCTGTGGATGAGTGAGTGGATATTTTGCGAGGACATGCCAGGTGTGGCCAGGATGAGCTGACAATGCAATGCGACAGCCTATAGCGACTGGGGAATGGGATGTGTTTATATGCTTGCAGTGCGTAAAATGCCTGGCTCACTCCAGCATCTTTGAGAGAGGAATGATTGCCCAGAAGGAATGAAGCCAGGTTCCTGGCCTACTCGCTCCGGAGGTCGTTGGTTCCTAGTCTTGCAGATCGACCAACCACATTGGATCGAGTTCTGGCCGTAATCTCACCCGCATGCTCATATGATACCAATGCGTCACACCTCGCCTTTCGCCTTTCGCTCTGTTTCTTAATACCGATATTACAGTATGTCTATATACGCGTCTCTAGACGCGATAGTTCATATATACTGGGTATATATATGTATGTCCTCATTCTCATGCTTTCCAAAAGCCCGAAGGACGTCGATCATCCAAACACTCATTCGGCCTTCGCTTCTTTTCTACTAAAGCGAACTAAGCGACTGCCCTTCGCGATGTCGCGACTCCACGCTTCGATACTCTTGTTGCTGATGATGTCCACCAATGCAATCTCATACCCACAGTCGACCCAATGTAGTCTTCCAAATGTCAGTCACTGTCCTTTGAACAAGGACGAAAGCGGGCAACCATGAAGCAAAGGACTGATACTTGCTCCTCAACTCCGTCGCCACCGAGGACTCGGAGTGAATTCTCAATTCGATCCTGCTCCGTCACTATAGGACATACATTCATCCGCGAACAGGCTCAATCTGCAAGGTAAGACGGCCGGACTTAGACAGCATGTGTTCAATTCTCACCGATTCGGTGTAACATCTCTTTCCTCTTTCTATACTCACCTTCTCTCTGGTCCAGGGACATACCTCAGTATTGGAGCCACGGCCGCGAAGACACAAAAAACGCATCTTTAAGGCTTTTGTAGCTTTGTCATCGTATCAATTTGGCGATTAGATTCCAGATCTCACTGCTTGATCAACGATATATTCCAGGCGAGGGCCCACATCCACCGTACCATCCCTGCCCCGGTGCCGTCGGGGACCCACGAGCGATCCGAGTCGTGACCTTAGGCCACCTGAATCGTTTCCTGCCCATGCACGCCTGAATACTATGGTCTGTGCTAGGCTGGGAGTCATCTCGAGATCCATGATCTCACCTAGTGCAATATGGGGAATACGATACCAGCAGCGTTGACCAGGGATGGGGGCAAGCTATATCTGGGGCATGTGTGGGGCGGTGGAGGACTGCCAGCGTATCCTCTACATATCACTGGGCAGCAGGGCGTCGAATCTTCTGCAGCCGTGGAGAAAAGACCTGAAGCTGAAGTCTGGCCTCTCGCTCACACCTACGCATTCGAGTTGGCGCACTCCGTCACTGGGTTAGGCTCACCATTGGCCACCTCACCATCTCTCGACGCCGATCCCACCCCAGCCGCAAGACCCCCAAGCCATGGTGTCTAAGCCGCTGTTCCTTGCGGCGCTCTCGCTGTTCAGCCGCGGCGCTGCCGGCGCCGGTCCCTTCGATGTCACTGCAGACCATGTGGCGTGGGACGATACGACGTACACGCTCACTTCGAGGCGGCCTTACCCAGGGTCGTACCAGGCCTGGCTTCCCCAGTCGAACGGGTGGGTAGAGACCATGATGGAATACACACACCGTATTACAGTAGCCTGTCGTACTAACGCGGCCGCTCTCATGCAGGTACATTGGCCTGGCCCAGGGCAGCCTTGGTCCGTTCCTCGAGGCCAGTAGGAGCAACGAGAGCACGGGCTGGCCGTTGTTTGGCAGCCCTCGGCTGACGTTCGCCACTGTCACCGGATTCTGGGACGATGAACTAGATGGGGAGAGCGTCGTTGCCGGTATTCCCCACTTCACTGACCTTCTCGTCGGTGCATGTGGGAGTACATTGAATGGAACTGCTGATGTTTCGGAGATAAGTGACTTCAAATCCACCCTGTCTTTGTGAGTCTAGCCAGCCTCGATTTTCGATATTCTTCATTGTCGCACTATGTGTGCTAATTCTGTGACAGCTCCACGGGCATCGCGACTTGGGATTATGTGTGGTCGCCGTCAGCATGCCCGGAAAATGTTGCGTTGAGAATCTCATACGAGGCGTTTCTGTCACTGGACGAGCGTCAGATTGGAGCTGTGAAGCTGTCAGTCAGCAGCAACTCGAGCGTGGAGATCCTGATTACGGACATATTGGACGGGCACAGCGCCGACCGGACTTTGGACGCAGAGCCTAGATTCTTCCCACCAAAGCGAGCCATACTGACATCTGTCAAACCCATTGGCGTCGACGATATCACCGCCTACATCTACTCAACAGTACGAGGCGACCTGCCGCAGTACCAGAAGGGCCTCTCGTCCGACCCTGACACGAAGTCAATCTCCCAGAGTTATAGTGTGAGGCTTGATCCCGCTGTGAAGGCCGGTACAGCAAGCTTTGTCAAGTATGTCGGGGTCGTGTCAACCGAACACTCCTCTGACGCCAAAGCCCTGGTAATCAAGGCAGTCGATCGAGCTGCCACAACTGGATGGGAGGTCCTCCGCTCTGCCCACACGGCACAGGTCTCCCTGTTGATGCACAATGACTTTCTCGCTGACTTCCGAGATCCGGCCACGGGCGCCCTACCCGAAGACAGCGACGTTCGCTCGCTTCAGATAACGGCCATAACCTCTGCCTACTATCTCTACACGAGCCTCATGCCCCATGATAATTCCAATGCTGCGCTCTTCGACCTCGAGTTGGGCTGCGCGTTCTGGACGTTCCTGCTCCAGTACCTCCTGCCATATGTCCGCGCCCCCTGGTACCAGTTCACGGAGCCGCAGAACGACGACACCAACACTAACACCAACGTCGGGTCCGATCCGCTCAACGACAAGGAGCCCCGGTTCTTCTCCGGCGGCACGAGCCCGGCATTCCCGTTCATGACGGGCCACGGAGAGCTGCTGCAGGTCATGACGGCGGGCTTCCTGGGCGTGCGGACCACGGACGTCAACCTGGTGCTCAACCCGGCGCTGCCGCCGCAGTTGGCGCACTTTAAGGCCCCCCTGCAGTTCCACAACGGCGCGGTGGTCGAGTGTAGGATGAACAGGACGCACACCACCATCACCCGCCGTGACGCGAGCAAGTTTGACGGCATAGTGCCGGATCAGTATGGGGACGGCGTGATGCCTATCATCGTCGGGCGCAGCGCGGACGACCCAGATGGCTACAAAGTCCACCTGAAGATCGGAGAGACAGCCGTGATTCCCAACAGGCAGTACAGCAACGAGCTCACCACACCTGGAAACATCCTCCAGTGCAAGTCGTCGTCCTCCCCCGACGAACACATCCCCGGACAATTTCCCCAAGCAGCCACGGACGGCTCCCCAGGCACAAGCTGGCAGCCCGAGTCGGACTCGGCCGCATCTCTACTCGTGGACCTGTCGTCCACCGGCGACCAGCCCGCCGCGGAGCTCGAACGCGTCCTGCTCGACTTTGCCAAGCGGCCGCCGAAGAACATCCGCGTCCTCCTCTCCAACGACTCGAGCTTCGCCGACCCGCCGGGGCAGCAGCAGCAACAGCAGCCCCTTGGCCAGTGGATACCGGTCGCCGTCAGCAGGCCCTGGGTCGCGGCGTCACCCGTGGTGCAGAACGCGGGCAATAGCACCACCGTCGAGCTGCCGCGCGGCGTGTGGAGCGGGCGGTATGCCAGGCTGGACGTCGAGGGGTGCTGGGCTGAGGACGGGGCCGGGGCGACTGTTGCGGAGTTCGCGATTGTTTCCAGGGGCCGTGATGCTGGCAGGGCTGTGGAACCTGGTGAGGTCGGACACGATGAGTTGTAAGTGAAGGGACATTAAGCATTGGAGCGTTGGTACACATGACACACTAGATTTGTGATACTCAAACGGGCTTGTGTGTTGGGGAGATAGGCGTCTGTCGAGTCCAGCGCCTGAAAATGCTGCTTGGAGAAGTCGACATGTATCAGGAGGCCGTCGTGAACGTCGACTCCTGGAGAAGCCTGCGTGAGTACAACGGAATTGCTACCCGCTGAGCGAGGGATGGGGCTAGGAAGGCCGATGAGCAAGAGGTTTTTGATATCATGGTCTCGGGAATTTAGGAAAAAAATGATTCCGTGCGGTGCTATCAATCCCGCAGCCCGCTGCTGAGAAGTAGGTAAATTTGATCCACGCTCCTCCCACTGTGCTCGTCTTCAACAACCACCACGCATGTCCTATCATCCGGTGGGGGTAAGTCCATTGTCCCAACACTGTCCTGATTCCGTAACATTCCCTGTGAAATCAGGATACTCAATAGCACCAATAAACTCACACAACTCCCCCTTCTTGAAATTCACCCCATGACAAAACCAATACCCGTCCGCTTGTCTCTTACTCCTCGTCTTGGTCTTCTCAAACGACCCCGAACAAGCCCCGATACACTCCGAAAAGCTCCCACTCGCCTCGTTCATCAACCTAGTTTGGTTCGCAATCCGCGGTACACACCTAGCCCCGCAGATCGCTCTGCCACCGTACCAACCCGCGTTCGACAATGCGCTGCCGTCGTCCCACATGTAGCTGTCACATTTGCACAGCTCGTTGAGATCTACATCGTACCATGGGGTAAGCGAGTCTGGTATGTAGCAAGTCGGCGTGGGCTGCGGGTAAGAGGTGCGTGTGGCCGAGACGGAGGCGCTGCGAGTGTGGCTCCATTTCGGTGGGTGGCGGCCTCGTCCAGCGGCGTACTGTAGACCGCGAGGCCCCGGCCGGTCGTTATTAATGCTGCCCTGACGAGGGTTATGCGCTGGGTACCGGTAGTCGATGGGCTTGTCGTTGCTGTTGAGGTTGGCGAGACCGATGATAGTGAGGAGTAAGACTATGGCCAATAGCCCTACGCCTGGAGAGCCTCGAATGGGAAACATGGCTCTGAGGACTCAGTAATGATTGATATAGACCAATAGCTGAATAATAACAAGTCTTTAACACAAGAAGGTATGTCCAGCGTGATTTCCCTGGTGTCGACTTAGGGTGGTGTGGTGAGGGTCGAGTTGCAGCGGCAGACACAGCAGCAGAAGACTCTACATACAGCATAAGGCTTTGCAAAATGCTAATTTGCCAGCCGAATGTTGTTTCTGCACAGCAAGTAGATGTCTCGAAATTTTCGAACGGTGGAGAAGGGCCGCAGTCTGATTTATAGGTACCAAAGCACTTGCACAGCCTCAACCAGACTTCTTCACTTATCCCTCAATCTTTTGACCACAAGCCTAGCTCGGTCCCTATCCTATCAATGAACCTGAACACATGCACAAGTGACACGTCGCTCAAGCAACTCAAGCCTTGTCGGTCTGGAGTGGTTGAAATGGCCAGTTTTGCGCATAGTATTACTCTCGCTTAGTCCAAATGTCTTATCACCTGGCCGGTTGAGGAAATAACGTATTACGCCAAGGCTCAACGAGAGACTCGCCCCTTAACAACGCAGCGGTTTGGTGCAGTCTAGACTTGGTAATTAACGCTTAAGACCCCTTGGCGTAAGCTGTGTGACGGGGCGAAATCAGGGACCCCATTCAAGCTTGAAAGGATCAGAATCCTTCTTGACGCTTGCGCTGCCGAAGATCCGGCCACATATTCCGCACTCCGTACTTGCCTATATAGACCAATAGGTAAGATGTGTGCGTTTCTATACCCATTTTAAGTGGAGAGGCCGCACAACCCAGCCATAGGCATATATCCTTATTGTGCTATAACAGTAGCTACAAGGTGTCAAGGGCCGGGTGTGATGCGCGGCCCAGGTGAAGACAGGAAAAGTGTGAAGACGGAAGCGGCCCTATCGTCTTGTACAGAGGTCGAGCATGCAAACGAGTTTCGGCAATGATAATTCATAAGTACCTCTGACCAGTATGGTGATGTAATGCTTTTCTAATTACAGCAGAAGACGAGCCAGAAATTTATAATAAGTGGAATGTCTACACAACTGAACCTATACGTACGGACGTAAGTTAAACTGTTTACACGGTTGGTTTTGGATAGTAACCGGCTACGTGGTGAAATTGTATTTTAGATCAAAAAATAAGGCAAGGGGGTGCAACCGCATGGTCGAAGAGCAATACAATTAAAGAACTCTTCGTAAGCTTGACAAGTTCTTCAGGTTTATCCAACGCTCTGTCGCAAGGCTTCATTTCGTGGAAACTCCGAGTCCCACCACACATATTAGGAAGAGCAGTAAGTATAAAATGATCAACAAGTAAATTGGCAAAGAAAACTTACAGAGGTTTTAAAAAAACGTCAAAACCCCTTCAATAGCTGAAAGTGTTTTGAAGATTGTGCCGTGCATAGCAGCCAGTACTACGGGAGGCATATCGCGGGGAAGACTTGATGAAAACCCGGTCGTCTTTACTTCTCTATCACTGGCGATTGATCATAGATGGTCGTCCCACTGCCTGAGAACTATCTCATTTCACGTTCCTGGTCAGTTTGCCTGTGAACTCCCCTCCCCCAAATGTCCCACGGGCCGTCCTAGGTGACGAGCAGAGGTTTTGGCAAAACAGCATCCTCCAATGGGCCAATTAAGTTTTTCGAAGGACTAGTGACCTAAATAAACAGCATAATAAAATATATTTGAATTTGGTTGCCCACAACTTGGGGGAGACCTGCTAAATACGTTCGCTTTCCTTCGTGGGAAATGCATGTTTGAGACCAGCCGTCCTCTCAAACAGGGCTCTAAAGCGAGAAATACAGCGCTTCGAATCGAAGGAGTAGTATAAGATCCAATTTCAAGTGGTACTGGAAACGCGGGAAGAAAAGTAAGCAAGCATACCCAAGGTGGCTCTGGAGAAAACTTGAATGATGCTAATTTGGAGAAATAAAACTTGAGACAAACAACTCTATCCTCACCGTGCAACGAGATATTTGGCCGCGCACAACGGTCAAGGAACGTTTCCAGTGGCAACCTTCACGAACGACGATCTCAGTGGTAACGACTGGCTTCTCTCAAAGTACTATCAAGAAGAACTGGGCCTCGCTTTCATTGCATCAACAGTCTGCCTGAAATTTACTGCGCATTGTCTCCCGCAGCAGCCTCGACAATATCGGTGGCCTCAATTATTTCTGGTGCGTTAAGCGACCCATCACCATTAACGTCAGCCTCCTCGGCAGCGGCTTGCTCCTGTTCGTCCACGTCTCCGCTCTCATCGAGGTCAGAATTCTCAATCTCCGCACCGTTGGCATTGGCGTTGTTATTGCCTTGCTGGTTATTCTGCTGGTCACCCTGCTGGTCGTCCTGCTGGTTACCCTGCTGAGCATCTTGCTGATCAGCCTGCTGGGCCTCGTCATCCTGTGCCTGTGCATCCTGGGCATCCTGGTCCTGAGCGTCCGCCTGAGCATCCTGGTCCTGAGCCTGGGCATCCTGGTCCTGAGCTTGTGCATTCTGGTCCTGAGCCTGGGCATCCTGATCCTGAGCGTCGTCTTGCTGGTTGTCCTGCTGATTGTTTTGCGCGGCGTTGGCCTGCGCGCCGTTGGCCTGCGCATTGGCGTTATTCTGGCCACCACCACCACCACCTCCACGCCTAAGTGCCTTAAGATCTGAAGCCCTGGCGTCAGCAAATGTTTTGGATGATTGAAGTTCATAGGCAATATACCTCGCTTTGTGACAGCAACGGCTGTGTTTCCACCATGCTGGGCAAAGATAGGCCCGGCACTGACAGCAACAGCCAGAAGGGCCGACAACAATGTGATACTAAACTTCATTTTGAAGGAAGATTATGTGAAAATGTAAGAAGTGCTCAACTTTTTCAGGCAGGCAAACGATAGTGGACCAGCACTAGAGAACGAATAACACGTTGGAAGATTAAAAGAGATGTGAAATGTGCGTGCATATCGCATTTAGGCGCTGCTTGAGGAGAGAACACCGCCTTTTAATACTCGAGATCCTCTGCTCTGTATACCTTCACCTTCGCCATGACGACTCCTAGAAGCGGTTAGTAGCTTCTAGGGCCCCTCCTGTCACAGAGTTCGTCGTTAACTCCATTGGCAGTTTTGGTTTTGTCTGGAATGCGGCCGTGGTCGTGATCTCGATATGTGAGATGTAGGTAGCCAAGAATGCTACCTAGGCGCCTTGTAGTGCGATTTACCCGCCCCATGCCACACTTTCGGTTTCACCCGCGATGACAAGTCTTTTTTGACTCCCGTCAGCCCAAATTCGGTTGAGATCTGGGACTTCAGATGGCTTGGCTGTTTGGACGAGTCAGGAGCCTAACGGGCCAAGAGTAAATACCTGGCCACCCCTCACATGCAAGGTACCGAGGTACTTCAGTAGGTATCTTATTTGCGGATTGTCCTATGAACAAGTGCAAGGCTTCCTACTAAACATTGCAATATCTGCCACTCTGAATTTTGAAAATGCAACATGCGTTATCATTAGTAGTGTCTCCAAGTCCAGGTCAGATTCATAGTCCCCCGAAGGCAGGTACCCAAATTTTATCAAGCTATAGGTCGGTGTCTCTCTCAGGCAGGCGCAGGCTCTGAAGACAGTACTGGGGTATATATCTCCATGAGCTGCAGAATGAAGATCCAGGCCAAGACGCAGGGTCTCTTCTAGCTAGCAGTCATGTAATCTTGAGCGAAACCCCTCTGGCTTGACCTACACCGGATGGTCAGGACGTAGCCGCCATAGTCCGGAAGGGGAAGTCCCAAGATACTTCGGTGGGAAAATCCCGTCAAAAGCAGCCTTGATCTGCAGCTCCAATTTCCTCAAGTAATAAGGATTTTGCTGCGTATACCCGCCCATAACCCAGTAGTTCTCGACCTGTTCTGGCGCTTCCATCTGCCTGGGACGTCTCCAGCTAGGGGACGTGCTAACAGCCCATTGGTGCTTGGCTGAAACTACAATTGTAGATCTATATGCTTAAGAAGTCTTGAATGCACCTTGTCACGCCATCTTCTCAGGTGGAAAGCGCCTTAGGTAGGTGAAGTGCGATGTGAACATCATCAAGACAAAGTTTTACAGACTTTAAATCCTCCGCTTGGCTGAGAGTCCTCAGCAGAGACTCGTGCGTCAGGTCCTACGTGTAGCTTGTGTCCAAAATGACATGGATACTTATTTCACGAAGTTGAGTAGTCAAGTCGAATTTGACGCACAGAATAACTATCCACTGTGGTAACTCCAATACCCGGCGATGCAGATTGCGTCAGCACTAGAAGCAGATTAGGTATGGACTTGAGTAACTTGTCCAAAAAGCAGTACGGACACCAAACTGTCCGAACGCAGAGCTCCACCTCGGACACTTCAGATGAGGGGCGCATCAAGCTTCCCTGCTGACCGACCGGTCTGATGTGATCAAGACGAATGCGGGAAAAGGCGACCATTCATTTGGAAGCGATTAGCTGACCTGTATGATTACGATAAATAGGTGTGACATCATCTTGAGAAAGTTTTCAATTCAAGACTTCGCCCTTATCGGCCCTTTGATACACTCTGGATCGCTCCGAATCAGATTATACTCTCATAGTAGTCTTGTGCCGGCAGACCATCTGCGTTGGATATTCGGAACGACAAAATTCCTATCCAAGAATAAAACAATGTCGAATTCACCGCACCTCAAAACTGCCAGGGCGCTGTTGGATGGCTACAGCAGCCACCGCACCCTTAGCCAGCGACTACTCGCATCAAATCCTCCCTGAGAGTCTAGGGGTGCCTATAAGAGACGCGAAAGCGTTTGCGGAGCACGCAGCTGAGATCTTCTCGATGTTTAGCGAGTTTCGAATGAACCCCAAGGCCATCTTTGAAGATAAGGGACAGAATGTGGTGGTGGTGCAGGCGCTGATGGAAGGAAAACTCAAGGACAGCGATGAAGAGTGGCTGAATGAATGTGTCATGATCATTTGTCTGTCCGAAGACGGATCACAGGTGGTCAAGGTCACCGAATTTGTCGATAGTGCGAAAGCTGTTGAGTTGCGGAACAAGCACACTTCCAAGTTCGCGAAGTAGTTGTCGGAGAGAAAAGGTCACCTCCTAGTAATTGTGCAAAGTGCATGGGGCGTTGCTGAAGATCAATACATATAGGTGTCTAACTATATCAGCCACTCCTTGACCTAGTAATCACTTTCCTCACACCTCTTTACTCGACCCCGTCTACTGATGGGTCATACACCCCTAATGCGACCCCGCAAGCTGCCAGAGCGCGCCCGTGCCAGCGATAAACGGCATAGCAATTCGGAGAGTGTTTCGTCGGATCCAGCTGCGCGCGTGATTCTCAGATTGAACAGCGTCGGTCATGCCAGCTTCGGGGCTTTCCAGTCCTTCGAGTTTCTTGTTCAGCGGCTGCATGTTGGCAGCAGAGTGAACCACCGTCACCAGGTGGCACAGAGCCGACAGCGCGTAGAGCCTCCAGTCACCAAGACCGCGTCCGCGACCTCGAGCAGCCCAGGCCGTGTATGCGTATCCGAGAAGTCCAAGAAGGCTTATCCGTTTAAAGAAACCGTGGCCGACGGCCCCAAAGACGGCCCACTGCCGCCCCAGCAGCCTCACCCGCGCAGCGTGATCTGGCGATGAGCTTGGCGGGAAATCAACCAGGAGGGCAGGTACACTCATGAACGTCTGGGTGATGGCATTGCCTTTTCAGGGTCAGCGTCAAAATATGTATTGCGTATTGATTGAAGTGAAGACTTGCCAACTAGTGTGAATGAGAATGCAATGCTAACACCGGCTGCGGCTTCAGGAGTGATAGCCATTTTGCTGGCTACTTTCTGCTTTCTTCTCTATATATGCTTGATAGATATGAGTAAGTCCACGAGCACATGTATGTGTGCTATGTGTGATTCGTCTTATCCGCACTGCGTAGCGTTGAGAGAGAGGCTGGAAGCGGAAACGCAAATGACTTGAGAATATTGGTGGCCAATCGTGAGGTTGCTCTGATTCCTACGGAATGTAAAGCTTCTTCACAGCCCAGGTTTATTATCAAAAGGATCTGTAGGAATCGGACATCCGATGGGGACATCTTGGATCCTGTGGAACAAGGCAATCGACTCGAAAGCGGTGATTGGCTGGCCTCTACGACTGCACACCACCCAATTTACCAGGACATTCAGTGAATGGTATTATGCAGCCGAAGTGATGAGCTCAGGCCTGTAAGCAGGATGTGAGGAAGGGTACTAGTGCAATGCCAGCACAATATTTCAGAGGAATGAACGCTAACGCTTCCTGAACGAACTAAGGGCTTATCCATGTGACTATGGAAAGAAAGCGAGCGCCTCGTTCAAGGCGATTGGCTAGCCTATACGACGAATACACCTCCTTCCGTTGCCAGACTGGCGGTCAGCTGACGTTAGAATCCTTCCTGTTTAACGTCAATCAGCTATGCATTGTGTGAGATACACAATCACAACGCACCATCAATTCACACAGTACAACCGCCAGAGAAGATAGTACACTCTTAGTGTGAAAATCCAAAATCCTGACAATGAGTAGTAGAGTTTGGAGTCGCCTATATCCTCATAAAGCTTCCATACTCGCGCCACATTTAGCTCACAGTGTGGGCTGAGGGTGTTCCGTGTCTTAGTCCTGTATTGTTCACAGTGTTGTGTGCTGTTTACTCGGAATTAGCCATGCAGCTCCTGACTCTCATCCCAATTTCCCTGACCATCATTGGGCTTGCTCTCGCTCGCCTTGTGAAGCTATTCAGACAAGCAAATGACCCGAAACGTGGTCCAGGGCCGACTCTGATTCCGTATATTGGTCGTATTCATGATCTCCCCATACCGTACATGTGGATCAAGTTCAAGGAGTGGGCAGATGAATATGCCGTCGACGGGTTCTACAGGACTGAGATGCTCGGCGCCAAATTTCTTGTCATTTCGGACGAGAAAGTAGCGGAAGACTTACTTGTTAAGAAAGCCAAGTTCAACTCAGATCGCCCTGCGATGAGATCCTTGTTTGATTCGAAGAGCTCGTTTGGTTCTATGGAGTATCTGCCACTCATGGGAAAGAACGGTAAGTCCTGTTCTTATGGATTGCAAATCTGGTACTAATACTCTTAGAATACTGGGCTCGACAGAGACGACTCGCACATGCCTATTTGACCAAAGGATCAAATGCTCAGTACTACGGCCTGATGTACCACGAGTCAAAACGCTGGCTCGCCAGGTTGACTGAAAATCCGGACGACTTTGGTTCTTCTCTTGAGGACATGGCATCCAAGATCATGTGCCAACTGACTTGGGACGACCCTACTGTCAGCGAGCTTTTGACCAAGAGCGCCTGGGGACTTCTCACGCAGATGTCCCCGGCTGGACCGATCACCAATGTCGTCACACCTTTGTGGGATCTTCCTTGGTTTTTGAATCCGTGGAAACAAGCGGAGAAAAAGCGCCATGCCGAGCAGCAGGCATGGTGGATGGAGAGACTCGTGACCACGCGCCAGAGAATGGAGAAAGGCGAGCAACGCCCGTGCTTTACAAGGCATTTTCTGGAGAAAGGAGAGAAGACTTCCAACATATCGGGCGATTATGAGGCGTCTTCTGTTTTGGGGATGCTGGCGACAGTAGGTATCTTCACCGTTGGCGGTCCGCTTTCATTCTACTTGATCGCGATGGTACATCATCCAGACTGGCAGGCAAGAGTCCAGAAAGAAGTGGATGAGGCTTGCGAAGGCCGTTTACCCACTCTCGACGATAAAGCAAACCTGCCGATCCTGCGTGCCTGCATCAAAGAGACCATGAGATGGAGGCCAAATGTGCCAACAGGTATGTTACTGATCGAACAGACTATTTACACTTGGGTTCCCTTGCTGATAGGCCCGACAGGAGTCGCACATGAGATGGAGGCCGACGACGTCTACAAAGGCTACTTCCTGGAAAAAGGGACCCGCATCCTACCTTTAGATTGGTATAAGATGGCGAACTTGGTATTGGGGTGATTTATTTTGCTAATTTTCGCAGGGCTTTCCTTCGCAACCCCATCAAATATCCTGACCCAGACAACTACCGCCCTGAAAGATGGCTGGAGCCAGAATGGCCCACCTACCAAGAACCGTTGACTACCTATCCGAGGATTAAGGGGATGTCATCTTTCGGGTGGGGCCAGCGAGAATGTCTCGGGCAGACCCTCACAGAAGATGAGTTGGTAGTTGCATGTGGTGCACTCGCATGGTGCTTTACTATGAAGCATAAAAAAGACCCAGTGACTGGAAAAGATATTCCTGTGCCGGTGGACAAGTCCAACTCTCTGCTCATCATCAAGCCGGACCCGTTTCAGATGGCTTTCGAGCCCCGGAGTGAAGCGCGCAAGCAGGAAGCCCTTCGTCTCTGGAGGGAATCTGAGGCCAAAGACCTCCATAAGAGAGAAGCCTTTCTAAAGGCGGCGAGAAGGAAGCGAGCATAAATATAGAGGGTAGCTGTCAATAGGAGAGCACAGCGGATCGCAGCGCACATGGATTGCTCAATGAAACAAGTCAATGCGTTAGAAAGTTTTGGTTTTCAGTAGGCCATATGATCTCAGCATCAATGGCTCTCGAGAAATAAAATCTTCAGCCACATCTAGCCTTTCGGGCTGCCTCCTTGAACTATCATTGATATTTAAGTACTCTCAACATCTGCAGATCCATCGTCAACCACTTCATCTGTGGCCAACAGACGCTGCCCCTTAGGCATGGGAGCATCTTACTCCCAGGCCACTGCCACTCCAAGAACTCACCACCGCCCTGGACGATTAGTACCTGACGCATGTGTGCCGCCCTCTCAAATTTTGGTAGAGACGGCTAGTCGAGGGCACACGGCGCCTTCGAAAAGTGATCTATCTTCCTATCGACATCCCCTCGCGTAAACAACATCACCGGAAGTCACCAGAAGGCCGATTTCCGCAATTCACAGAACCTAGTCACAAAATTTGCTGTGAAACATGTCTAGCTAATATTAACGAGGTGTCAGCATGCTAATACACAAGTTGGGTCGTCCAGCCCCTTCATTGCAGAATGTATGACGTGAACAGCTCCTCCTGCAAACAAGTGCAGAAGCAACCAGATTAAGCGCCGAGCTCTGTACGGCTAGCTGTCTGTTTATGCATGCGTCGTATGTATGCACGATGGATTGTCTGCGTATCATCTCACGTAAGCAGGACGTACACGCCACGTTGAATGGTCCTCGATGTACTAGGGAGTTGCTGACGGCTCAAGCTACAGGTGTTCTAGGACAGAGGCACCCAGCTAGTACAGCTAGTACGACAGGATGGCCCCCCAGCCCCCGCCAACACACACGGGCAACTGCAGGTAATTCATAGCTGACCACCTCGGCCATCCTCATGTTTCACTTTATCCGCCTCTAAATGTCTCAAAGGTTTGCCAGGACGCATCTGCTCATACATACTCCAGACAAGATTCCAATTCAGCTCATGGTCAAGCCCAAAGCACCTGGGCAGTCTCTTTCGTCAGTACATCTAGCGTCTAGAACATTCAGAAGGTTCTCGGTATCAAAGACAGCGACTTTAGAAGTTATCATGCCTTTTTCCACAGAATCAAAGCCTGTGGGCTCATACCCGTCAACGGGCATCGATGTACTCATCGTCGGCACCGGGCTCGCCGGTCTAACAGCGGCAATCGAGTGCATTCGGAAAGGTCACAGTGTGCGCGTGTTAGAACGAAACGCAGGCATCAACACGGTCGGTATGTTCACGGAAGACACCAATTCCAATTTCACCTCCGGGACAATGAAGAATTTGCTCATCTTTTCCTCAGGAGATATGTATTTCATGGGCCTGAGCGCAACCAGGTTCTTCAAACACTGGCCCGAAATGGCAAAGGAGTACGACGAAATCTCGCTGCACAACGCTTGGATCGAGACGTTCAAGCACGACGGCACACACATGATCCCGCCGCTGAAGGTCGCAGACCGCCTGCGCGACGCCGGCCTCGACCCCAGCACGCCCCCGGGGACCTTTCAGATGAGGCCCCTCGTTTATAAGATGTTCGTTGCGCAGGTTGAGCGACTGGGGGTGGATATCCAGTTCGGCAAGCGCGTCGTGGATTACTTCGAGGACGACGAGAGCCAGAGGGCTGGGGTGGTGACTGACCAGGGCGAGAGGTTTGAGGCAGACGTGGTCATCGCCGCCGATGGGGTAGGGTCCAAGAGTCATGGGCTTGTTGGCGGCCAGGTCAGAGCCATGAGCTCCGGAAGGGCTATGTGGCGGGCTGCCTTCCCGAAACATCATCTAGATAAGAACCCCGAAGTCAAGGAGTTCTTCAAGATGGTTGATGGCGAGACTGGTGAGGAGCCCATCATCAGAACATGGCTGGCGTAAGTCATCAGAGGACCAATTCCATCAATGGCAGAGCAACAGCAACTAATAGCAAGCAGCCCAGGAGCGTACGGTCTCACGTTGACTCGTCCCGACACAATTGTTTGGACTATCAACCACGATGTAAGTACCTAAAACCACGACAAATATCTCAACTCATTAAAGGCTTACCACAGGACAGGTAACGGGCTCAGAGAAAGAGTCATGGCGAAACACAGTAGAATCCTCCGAAGTCCTCGCAAACATGGACAAAGGCGTCGGCCCAACCCCCTGGGCCCCAATCTTCAAGCAACTCATCGCCCTCACCCCGCCCCAGACAATAGTCAATTTCGAGCTCTTCTGGCGCAACCCCCAGCCCAAGTGGGCCTCACCGCGCGCCCGCGTCATCATGATCGGCGACGCGGCGCACTCGTTCCTCCCGGCCTCGGGCAACGGCGCCACCCAGGCCATCGAGGACGCCATCTCGCTCGCCTCGTGCCTGCAGCTCGGCGGCAGCGGGGGCAACATCCCGCAGTCCGTCCGGGCGCACGTCCGCCTGCGCTTCGTGCGCAACGCGTGCGCGCAGAAGCTGGGGTTCAGCAACGCCGAGCTGCTGCAGGACACGGACTGGGGCAAGGTGAGGCTGGACCCGCGGCGGGCGCAGCCGAAGCTGCCGAGGTGGGTTTTCAGCCACGATCCGGAGGGGTATGCGTATGAGAACTATGAGAAGGTTGTGGAGAGTATGAGGAAGGGTGTCCCGTTTGATGAGGACGACAGCATCCCGCCTAATTATCCGCCGGGGTATAAATATGAGGAGTGGAACATTGAGCAGATCATGGAGGACATCCGGAACGGAAAGCCGGTGGAGCTAGGTGCAGGGGACTGGAGATGATAAAGGCTCCTGTTAGTCAATAGGACGTAGCAATAACACGCCGGAATAATGCATATACAATGCGACCTTGTCCCGGCTAAGGACTCCGAATTATATCATAAAGGGCCTCCCATGATTACATGATCCCAGACCACATCAAATACACCATCAAACCAACAGATAACCAGTCTCAAAAGCATAATTATCACACTACTCCAGTAGCCAAACATCCATTCTAGGAGGCCAGATATAGTGGCTAAGTATCCAGTTGCCACCACACGTCAAGTTTGTCACTTGCTATTCTTCACATAGAAAACGAAACTGATGCAGATATTTCTGGAATTTGTTCTTTCATTCCCAATCATTATGTAAAACTTTCAGATCTCATCACCACCCACGACAACGATCCGCCCTTTTCTTGGTATTTATTTACACGACAAAAGCTCAATCAGAGACCATCCTTCCCGGAAAAGAAAGCACCCCAACTCCCAATTCAAAACTCCAGCCTTTTTCCTTTGCATCCTGCCGCCCTTTGTGGTATGGCAGGGTAGGTGATGCGGCAGGCATTTATCGGCTGGTGTCGACGACATAGCGGCCGACGACGGTGCCCTCGGCCATCTTGTCGAATATGCTCTGCAGCTCGCTGAGGCCGACCGTCTTGAAGGGGGCGGTGATGAGGCCGCGCGCGAAGAAGTCGAGCGCCTCCTGGGTGTCCTGTCGGTTGCCGACATAGCTGCCCTTGATGGAGATCATGCGGACGACGCTCTCGAAGACGGGGGCCGAGATGCGGGCGCCGGCGGGCAGGCCGATGCAGATGACGGATCCACGGGGGCGGACGTAGTCGGCGGCCTGCTGGAAGGGCTTCTCGGACACGGCGAGCAGGATGGAGGCGTGGGGGCCCAGGCCGTCGGGCGTGGCGGCCTTGACGTCCGCGACGAGGTCCTTGGAGGTGAAGAAGTCGACGTAGGCCGAGGCGCCCAGCTCCTTGGTGGCCTTGCCCTTCTCCTCGCCACCGTCGATGGCGATGGTGTGGATGCCCATGGCCTTGCAGTACTGCAGGGCCATGTTGCCCAGGCCACCACCGGCGCCGGCAATGGCGATCCACTGGCCGGCGCGGACACCGGACTCCTTGATACCCTTGTAGACAGTGATGCCTGCGCAGAGGACGGGTGCAACGGCCTCGAGGCTGACGCCCTTGGGGATGCGGGCCACGTGGGCGGCCTTGGCGACAGCGTATTGCTGGAAGGAGCCGTCGACGGTGTAACCAGAAAGCTGGGCCTCGGCGCAGAGGGGCTCGTCGGCAGTCATGCAGTAGGAGCAGGACAGGCAGGAGCCGTTGAGCCACTTGATGCCGACCTCGTCGCCCTCCTTCAGGTCCTTGACGAGCTCGCCGCGGGCGACGACAACACCAGCACCCTCGTGGCCACCGACGAGGGGCATCTTGACGGGCAGGGGCCAGTCGCCCTTCATGGCGTGCAGGTCGGTGTGGCACACACCAGAGAACTTGACGTTGACCAGGACCTCATCGGGGCCGGGCTTGGCGACGGGGATCTTCTTGTACTCAAGAGCTGCAGATTGAATGTCAGCCTGGGATCTGTCTAGTGAGGCGGGAGAGAATTTGTGGGTTGGAGATCTGCACAAAGTGTGGAGAGGGCGGCTCGTGGAGGGGCATGGAGGGGCAGAGGATAGAGGGGGGAGACTAGTTGTGCTGGGTGAGGTCAAACTTACGTCCGCCGACCTGCTTGCAGACCTGCGCCCACTGCTCAGTTGGAATCTCGACGCCCATACTGTTGGTGTGTGGTGATGTGTAAATCTGGTGGGTTGACAAGGTGACGGTGATGTCAGAACTGACGTGCTGTGCACTGGCTGAATGGTTCCTTAGGTTGAGGAAGGGCTTGGTATTCTTAGGGTTAAGATGCTGATGATGAATGGGAGAAGAGGTCGAGGACAGAAGCTGAGGTCGGAGGGCTTGGACAGATTTATATCTCTGCTGTCCAAGAGCAAGGTGGGGAAGGCGCGCTGTAAAGACCGGAGGAGTGGTGGTGGCCAGAGGGGAGGAGGAGGACAAGGAGCTGATGGACGACAGGGTTGGCAGGGGAGACGCGCGGGAAGCTCGAATTCGATACATGGTTGCGTGCAGGTGGGCTGCAGGACAGACAGGTGGTTCTGGTACCGCTTGGGCTGGCCTTAGGCCTTGCTTGGACCGTGTCACTGGTGTCACCGGTGCCACTGGCGTTTGTCCACTCTCTTTGGTTGGAGAAGCTCTGGGAGTACCTAGGTACGGAAGGTATGACGATCCTAGGTCCGGGTTCTTGGTTCTGGGCTCTGGGTCTGCTTTTCGCTGGGCCTCGGTCTAGGACTTCCCTGGTTCGTGCTCGGCTGGTTGCATGCAATGCAGCATGTATGCAGTGGATGCAATACGACACAGCAATTCAGTACTGTACAGGGCTGTTACGGTACGGTACGGTACGGTACGGTATTGTCTGACGATTTGGCTGCTGTGGAACAGTAACGACAAGGACAAAGCTCAAGCTCAAGCTCACCGTACACAACGTGCAACATGGAAGCTAGGAAGAGAGGTGGAGGGGCCCGACGAAGTGGCGCTCGCCGGGGGCAGAGATCTACTAAACAATGCCGGTTCGGAGAAATCCCTTTGTCTTCTCCGGTCGTCTGGTGATGGTGGTGACCGTGAGCAGACTCGAGGCCGGCGGTTGCACTGCGGTGTCGTACGATTCCCACGCATGGTGGGGCTCGCGGGAAAGGCCAATGTCAGATGTCACCTCACACGTTCCCTGTGCCCAGCCCCAGGCCCCCGGCCAGCCCTGTCATGCCCGCGTCGTGTCCTCTCAAGTCCTCTCAAACACATACCCAACCCACCGTGCTACACGGGCCATGGGGGGCGTGGCATGGTCCGGCGTGGTCTGGTCAGGCCATACCTGCGGATGCTCTCCTGGGCGTTTCTTGCTGGGTTCGACGTGTGGTCTACACGTCTCCCAGGCTGCTGGGATTCTAGAACGAATGAACGAACACCTACTGTACCGTGTGTTGCATCCGTTATTCCCATCTGCCTGTCACTTGTGATGATGCAGCACACACACTCACCGGCTCAGCTCCGGGCAAAAGGCTCACTACCATCGTGACAGTCACCTCGTTACCTTGTCACCCTGTCGTCTGCAGCCACTCTTCCGAAGCCACGTCTGACTGATGGGGCGCTGGGAAGGCCGTCTGTCCGATGTTTGGGGAAGCTTCAGCTCAAACGGCCTGCCGCAACTCGGATGCACGAGCATGAGCCAGAGCTACGGCCCCGCAGCCGCCTGCGCGTAGCATACAAGTGCATGCGGCGGGTAGATTTGACACGAACGTGCTTTGCCTTGTCGTGGACTGTAACACGGCGTGCAGGCGGTTGTCCTAGCGCGGGAGACGGCCTTGCGAGCCGGACTGGCGGAGCCGCAATCCGCTGTGACGCTGGGGCCTGGGACTGACTGGGTACATGACAGGTCTATTGCGGGCGCGTGCCTGACTGTGAGAGATTGTGCTGCTGATGGTGATGACGACGAGGGCGGTGGACGTTTCGATGCGGCTCCGAGCCTGAGACTAGCAGCGTAACGCTACAATAGTTGCAATTAGCCCATTCGGACGATGGGCGGATGTTTTAGGAGGGAAACTGGCAGGGACAGGATGGATGCTTCGGAATTGGGAGGAGCCAGGGCATGGGCCCCCGCTGTCAAAGGCGGAAGGGGCCAATCACTCACCCCTGCCGCAGCCCGTTTTAGACTGACAGAGGGAAGGTGCAGTGTGGTTCAGTGTGGGATGTGGCTTGATCGCTTGATCCGGCCGGGTCGTTCCTGCTCTTACCTTACTGAGATCATCATACCAGGCTGCAGGGAGCAGGGAGCAGGAGAGCAGGAGAGCAGGAGCAGGAGCAGGGAGAGCAGCAACGAGCAGGCAGAGACAAGCACCTTTCGCCGGATAACGGCCGCAGCCGTGGCGTGGTTTCCCAGCAAATATTTTCCTGGCCCCCTTCCCTCAATCAAAGTGTCAACTGCTCTCGCTGCTTTCCTCGCTTGAGCGAATTTTATACCCTCGTTCTCACCTTGACTCAGAGTCAGTCACAGCCTCCCGAAACATGCTGGCCGTCAGCGCGCAACGTGTCCGTGGTGTGGTGGCAAGCTGCATCATTCCATAAGAACTCCACGATCGGGGCGCCTGGAGCTCCCTGTTGGTCCTGTGTCGGAGCTGCGTTCTGTCAGGGGCTGCGTCGAAGGATCCAGGTAGCTACGAGCTACAGTGCCCCTCCATCCGACGACCCCTCCTTGACCTGCACCTCGAGCTTCCATCTTCCATGTGCCTCATCTAAGCGAGCCATCAGCCCGGCATACCGGCCGGACGATGATGCATCCCCCGATATCTAACTTACTCGTGATTGACAGATTGCCATGGCAGGCACGCAGGCACACCAGCGATCACCACAGTACCAGCTGGGCTGCCAAGTAGATAACCTTGCTGCAGTTGGCAGATCCGAGGCGATTAACATGGGACTACACTTCTCTTACGTGGCAGCTATGGCCAATTTTGGCACACAGCATCATCGATCGCCAATTCCTGCTTCCACGATTGCCATGGTCAATGGACAATCAATTGGGTGAGGTGGCACTTTCGGTGAGGCAAGAGTACACGAGAAGGATTGGCCGAGGTACTGCATAGGGACGATCCAACGATCAGGCCCTCACACCGAGTGAGGCACAAAATGGCTGAGATCTTCGACGGTTGAGCGAGCACTGCATTGGCTGGCCGGGGCATGCCGGTCCCACCCCACGGGGAAACAAACCACAGCAAACCCTCCTCCCCAACCGTGCCCACATCTCCCTCCTCGTTCCTCCTGCTGCCCCACCGCCGCCTCAAGCTCATGTCCCTGCCCTGCTGCGCGCCTGGAGGAAAGGATATGCGGATCATGGACGAGCGGAAGTCTATGGCAGCAGCTGAGTAGCTAGAAAGGCCAGCTATTCGACACATCCAGGCCCACAGCGACATCATGCATGCATACACGCCTTGGAAGCGCCCTGACACTGTTCGAGTTATTTCCCTCCTCCTCCGCCTCCGCCAGGGCGATTGGCGTCCGGGTGCGGCTCCGCCGGGGGAAAGGGGAACGCTTGACATGCAACTAATAACAGCGGCGCGTTGTGTGACACCCAGCAATCCGGGGCAGGTGTGTGAAGGAACGCCAACGGGCGGGGTTCAAGGGTCGTCGCAGAGTTGATCAGACGCAACCATCAGGCCATTCCCCAGACTTCTGCGCTTCCCCTCCCTTCCTCCTCCCCGCCCATCTCCTTGCCCACCCCCAGATCCGACGTGGTGGGAAGAACTCATGTAATGCACGTCCCCTATGTCCTGTCTCCAGTCTGTTCACTCGGCCCCGGGACTGTGACGCTAGATTGGCAGATTTGGGCTGGTGCTATCTGCGGCTGGGCTAAAATGGTGTGGCAGCGTGCGGATCCGGGTCTTGGGCCGCACGCACTTTGCGCGCTGCTGGACTAGTAGATTATGTGCCTATGTGCCCAGGTTTTGTCGTAGATCTGCCAAGGCACGCGTCGCCCTGCCTAGAAGGGCTTGTCGTCGCGGGTAGCCACACCTCCTTCTCACCCACGCGCCCAATCTTGGCGATTTGGTACCATCACCGCCCCTGGCGAGGTGCCTGTTATTGCAGATCCGGCCGCGCTGGTCCGGCCGTTGAGGCTGGGCCCTGGCCTACATGCCCCATTCCGCCTGAGGTAGCATCCAGATGTCTTAGTAGCGTACCTGACAAAGACCCTTTTCTCCGGCGAGATGGGGATCTGGACTTTGATATTGCCTCGGGTAGATGCCCAGGAGGGCAAGGCGTCCGCCCCGGCGAGAGCCGACTCCCGTGCTGGGGGTTCCTGCATACGCGCGCAAGGACTGTACTTGGTCGAGAGGAGACGTGACGTGGGAAGCGCCTGTGCTCTATAGATCGTATTTTCTATTATGGACTACTACGGTTCTCCTACTCAGACACAACTGCTCTGCTCCGCTCCTTACCACTTGCAAGTAGCCCCCGTGCAAGCCATGCCCCGTAGTTAAGCCCTGGCTCCGCCGACATGGTACGTGATTCACTCCGCGGAGATGATGAAAACTGTGCCCAAGTCACCACGTGCAACAGCACACAGGCGCGCGGCAGCTCGTCGACCCGGCGGGCTGGATACGCCGGTTTACTGCTTCTGTAGCCAAGCCGGGCACCGTGACTCAAGGAAGCGTCTTTGCAGCCTGAATGCTGTGGAACGAACTCGACTTTCGTGGTGTGGGACGTCTGCCTGCTTATTTCTAGTCGTATATGAAGGCACAGCATTGGCAATTAGAAGGCTCGGCCTTCAATTTTCCTCGGCGAAACCAGAGGCGTGAGTAACAAGTACCTGGGTATGTAATGAGGTCGGTACAGAAGGTAGACTAAGAACTACTGGATTACGGGTATAAAATGATGAGTTGGCCAACCCCGACTATCTCCCTCAATACGATGTTACTGGTGTCTATTACACAGATACATGATGAGGCTTGGTCCGGCTGAGGTTGTGCCAGAGGAGCTGTACGGGCCTCTACTGCAATAAGGGAGTCTACATTATATGCGTTCAAAGGCTGGGTGACATTCAAAACGGTTGGCAGAAGAGTTTCCAGCGATGGGCTCCGGGCTTAAGCAAGCTATGGATTATAACTCACTCACAGAACCCCATCCCCCGCCCCTTATAACTTTCATCAAGGTTCCCGCTGTTCCCTTTTCCGACGAATATCGGCAATGATAGCATCATAGTCTGGCCATCGAGGCGTAATCGTGACCCCCTTCTCCCTCATCAGTCGCCCCCTCATGACTGCCCCAATAGCCCCGGGGTTGTCGACGGACATGACGGAATTCCAGTATCTGATCTCCGGGTCCGGCTCGAACACCTGGCTTCCTCCGTCCCCACTTTCACTTCCCTGGTGATTGCTCTCGGAGGCCGTGTCACCAACCAATGACTTGCCGCAATTGTCTTGGGCTTCTCCGTCGATGTTTGATTCTTCTTCGTCACTACCTGACTCTTCTCCATCCTCCTCTTCATACATTTCCTCTATAAACCCGCACTGGGCGAGGTCAACGATGAAAGGATGGTGCGACTCCTTGTCCACCATGACATTATACATACTGCAGTCGCTCATGCGGACACCGCGGCGGTTGATCTCGTGCGCCCCGTCCACGGCGGTCTGGATGGTGTCCTCCCACCTCTCCGTGTCGGATGGCGCCAGGGGCGAGATATGGAGCTCGGACAGCTCGTACCCGTCCACGAGCTCCATGAGGATGCCCCGGACATCAAAATATTGCCTCGTCTCCGGGCGCTGGAGGAGACCTGGGGGACAAGGCACGATGTCGTCTTGTGGCAGGCTTAGTCGCACGTGAGCAAAGAGCCGAGGTATGACCTTGCCCTGGAGTTCCGACAGCTTCTCATACGCCCGAGTTTCCCGGTCGAAGTACTCCTGACACGTCTTCCACTTGACCGCCTCGTACTTGGCGGTCTCCTCGGCCGAGCCGTCGAGATAATGCCAGGCCGACACTGGCAAAACACTGGAACGGCCTTCTTTTTCCCGTTCAAGTAAGAAAGCACCAAGCTTTGCCCTGCGGATGAAATCACAGTATGCGGCTTCTGTGGACGTTGTGTGCATGTGTGGTTCATACCTCCTGCTGGCGGGGTTGACGCGTCTCCGGAGGGTGGTGCCAAAGCGGCGGTCGTAGAGCTTCAGTACTGCGGTGAATGTCTTTTCAGGTGACGAAGGTGAGGATGGGTCGCGATGCTGGGTGCGGACTTTCATCACCGCCGACATGGTCATTGTCAGAACCTCCAGGATTACTGCTTCGCATGCTGGCGTTGATGCTGGCATTGGCGAATGTCTGCAGTGTTGTAACACATCTAGCTTCAGGCTCGTGCCTTGTGTATACGGCACGGGTGTTTCCTCCTCGGACCTGGAATACCAGTTATTGGTTATTTCAAGATTCTTCAGTAGCAAATCAGTAATCGTTAATGTCCTGGTAGTGATTTCTTACATATTTAATCTGCGGGGAATAATAGTCAGCACGACCTGCTAATGGCTTGATGCTAGCGAATGTGGTGGACGAGAAATAGGTCGAATTTTACGGCAAGGAGGCAAGCTGGTACAGTTCGGAACTTGATGGAGCAACTGAAGAATAACAGGTCTTATGAGGAAGAAGGCGGTGCCGGTTGGCACTTAGCGGGCTGGCATAGTTTAGGCTGCAATTTGGCTGTGTCACACCGACTCCAGTACTAAATGAGTCTGGGCCAACTGTATGTGCTCATGACGCGTTAAACTACAACAAATATCTCATGAGATGTTTTGAGATGATCATCTACTGCCTCGTTGTTGTCCATTTGTTGCAGACTAGTCTTGGTCACCGCACTACTACATCTTCTTCGTCTTCCTTTAAGGCAATACCAGATATGGCGTAATGTGGCTGATGATGAGTAAACAATATTTCAGTGTTGTGTCTCTTCTGAGGACTACCTGTTTTACAGAATACCTGACTTGGATCTGCGCAATAACTTTGCAGGCAGACTGTAACACCATTGTATTTTCCATTCATCTTGCCTCAAGGGGCCGGCACTCGCCGCCAACCGCGCCGCATCTTTTGCCCGTCGTGGAGGTATCATCGGCTGTTAATTATATAACATGTCAGTCCTTCTCCCTCTTATCTTCTCTTCTCCCTTTTCCATAGAAAAAGAAAACGAAGAATAGAACGACGGCGCCCTCCACAATATGAAAGACTAAGACGAATGATACAATGGCATGAGAGGAAAGCCGAAAATGATTAGAATTGCACGTACTCTTGCAGATCAGCGGTATAACGTCGTTGACACATCTGATGCATTCGCTATCGTCCTTGCATTCACCTGGATGGGACAGTGGCTGTCAGCGCTGAATGTCCGCACAATCGATCACTTTGTCTTTCAGGTACTCTTACCTCCTTCTCCGCGCTGTGCAACCGCTGTACAGGCTAGAACGGACAGCAGTGTGATAACTGTTGGGAAGTGCATCGTGCTATATGTTGTATGCTGGTCTAGCGTTGAACTTTTGTGGAAGAAAAGAGGATTTGGTGCCGAAGGAATGATGTGCTTTGTGGGACAGGTTTTACCGAAGGGCCTATGTGATGTGATTCTGTCTACCTATATTATATCTGCGCATGTGTACGTACCTAGAACCCGAGGTCTCTTAAGCAATGACTCACGCTGAAATGTATCTGAGACTCGTCTTTGTATGGATTGCGGGTACACAAGAATTCGCTTCCCCCTGGAACGGCTTGGCTCAATCAACCAATGACTCATGTTTCATTAGCTTGTAAGCCTACTAGGGTAGGTAATCGCGTCGAGGTACGGTGAAACAACTGCTGGTTTGTCGAACCAGCTTAACATCACATAGGTCGCTAAGCTCAGGCATCAGCTTCGGTGCAGAGTGGAATATAATTCTGCAAATGGTTCGGAAACAGCAGAGTATAAAGATATAGTCTGACGAGATCCCAGTTGAGTAAAAACATATAATCATGTAACGGTCCAATGAACTTCTGGAAACACACCCATGACTACAGACAATAACACTCGAGAGCCTTGGCTTCTGACAGACCACTGAAAGTTCATAGCATCCAGACACAGCGAGAGATCGGGGGATGGTGGATACTCCAGGACTTTCTAAGTCTTGACTTCAAAATGTGGCGTCTTTCTCGGAGCCAGCTATGTGGCAGACAACCTATGTAGGGTAAGCATTTATAGATTAGCATTTGTATGGCGCAGAGCCATAGAACGATTCTGCTGAGGCTTTAATAGTCTCGACTGTCTGACAGTGCTATAAAGGTAGTAGAAAAAGCAGTAGAGGTATTGACTATTCCTCAAAGGCAGCAAGGCTGTGCAACCTGCTCACCATGGCAACTTGCTGAAGTATAAATATACATCCAAATTGGGCGTTTTGGGGTTACACGAGCTCAGTGCCTTAGGCACATGTGCAGAAATGGTTCAGCCTTTCCACAGGTTGCTGTAATACCTACAGGCACGTCTGACATACCCCTCACTTGCACTTTTCATGCTCGTAATGAAGACAGGAAACCCCGTCACCCTTCGCCACACGATCCCAATGCCTTCAAAACTGGGGACCAGGACGTCTTCCAGAGCCAACACTTTCTATTGGGTTGAAGTCTTTCAGGTCGCTCTCAGAGTACATCCCACAACAAGCCTCGGACGGCCCCACGGCTTTCTTGATCGAAGGACACACCGCTCAACATCTCGCTCAACACCTAAAGCTCGACCTTCAAGGTACCTGCTCTCGACACAGAATGACAAACAAATATGCATATCGGTCTCTCCCAGACGAATACTCTATTCGAGTCCTCAATCTTGAACCGGGGAAAGATGACGATCAGTTGTCTGGGGCACTCGAAGTGATACACCTGCACAGCCCCAACCCGGCTTCTGATTCTGACCCCAGTGCGGACTCGTCGACAACTAGAGTGACCAGATGGACCCCGGACAAGTCCTATGAGGCCATTTCGTATGTGTGGGGATCGAAAAAGAAGGACCACGCCATCCTCTTGAACGGGAAGACCCACCAGATCACGGCCAACTTGAGCGACGCTCTCTATCAGTGCCGACAGACAGACCAGTCCCGGGTTCTGTGGGCGGATTCGATATGCATTGATCAAGAAAAGCTGGAGGAAAAGAATCATCAGGTGTACATGATGGGTCGCATCTATGCATCTTCTCAGCGCACCCTCATCTGCCTAGGGACCGACCGCGACAATCGAGACCACGCTCGGAATGCACTTGGGGTGATTTCCGATGCCAATCGTATGATTCAAGAAGGGTTCCAGAGACCTGATTTCTCCTGGGAACTGAACAGTTTTCCTCAAGCTCTTCCGGAAGATCCCCTGGTCAACGACTTAAGATGGCAGTCGGTAGATATTCTGTTCAGCCTTCCATGGTTCCGGCGCGGTTGGGTTGTCCAAGAAGCAGCCTTGGGACGTGAAGCGTGCGTAATATGGGCAGACTACAAGATCGCGTTGATGGATGTTCTCCGAGTCCAAACGTGGTACAACAGACGCGCGCAAGCTGCAAACAAGTCACACTGTGTGGGTGGATATACGTCCATGCTCTTTCCGCAAATTTTCTTTCACAAAAGAAAGGCAGAAGCCAGGGTTTTATTCGCCTCAGAGAACAAAATCGACGACCCGAACATTCCGCTGGCTCTGCATCATGCCAGGAACCTATATCTTAGCGACCCTCGGGACAGAATCTACGCATTTATGGCCCTGCCATTTGTCAAGAATCGGTTGCCTGCCCTGCATCCTAACTACGAGCAACCACATCTCGAGGTTTACCGAGACTTCGCCGTGAAGTATTTAGAAAAGACTTCAGACTTGAACATCTTATGTTATGTGACAGATGAAGAGGTGAATGAAGAGTCTATTCACGGCACACTTGGGAGCTCGTGGGTTCCACGATGGGACTGCAGAGCATGGAACGCTCCACCTTCCGCAAGTTTTTATAGAAACTTTGGCCGCACGTCTGCAGAACCAGCCGAATTCATGATTATGCGTGGAGAAGATGATGCATCAGCTCCATTGCAAGTCCGGGCGGTCATCTTTGACTCAATCAAACTCATTTCGAGGCGTATCGAAGATTCTATGACAATCGAGGATTTAATCGCTCTATGGTCTTTATGGTCAAAACAAGCTGGCTCTGCCATTGCCTCCAGACAAGTTGAGCCCAGTGCCGACAACGATAGCCTGAAATTCCTCCGCGCTTTGGCCGGTGGGCTCCATCTAGGGCGCTATGAAGAATGGGCAGAAATGCTACACTCGTACTCAAAGTTTCTCCAGGACAGCAAGCAAGAAGATCCATTATCACCAGGCAGCGCTCAAGTGTCTCCGGATATACAATCCTGTCATCGACAGTTAATTGGATCTGGCCACCACTCGCAACTTTTCTTACTCAAGAGAGGATATTATGGGCTCGGCTCCTGGGCCATCAAGCAAGACGACGTCTGTGCCTTCGTCTTCGGGGTGCAGATCCCCATCATTCTCCACAAAGTTCCTGATGCCGGGGTTCACCATTACAAAGTGATCGGTCCCGCCTTCGTTGTCAGCAAGGGCTTGGACCAACTGGGCATACCGCATGATTTGCATCGATGGGGCGTTTGGGACAACTGGCATGAGCTCTGTAAGTTAGAAGGATGGACAGATTGGGGACTGAAAGAAGAAAAGATCATCCTTCTATGAGGGCATATTTGGCACGGGAGAAAGACATGCCTGGACTTGCTTCTACTACTGAACCGTGGCCTTTTGTTGTCCTGCGAGGACTATCTACTGCGTCAGAATGCCCCAGTGAGCGTGTTTGTTCCTTGCCTGTGACTCGGGCTCCCTTGTCTGCCTTATCTCTGAAACATGTTTGTCTCAACTTTCCTCATCCTCATCCATGTTGCAGCGCCTGTCAGACTGCCAGGCTTGTCAGTTCATACTTCCAATACTGGGAAAGGAAAGGAAGTGAAAAATTCAATGGTCTCCTTATTTGCGTGAACCGGTGCCAAGGCCTTAAACCCTAGCGTCCTTCCAAGTACTGGTGGACTAGATACTTATGTTGGAGCAACAGAGATTAATATGAGTGATGTTCTATCCCCGACAAATGCTGCTCATCGACATTGCTCTTAGGAAAATGTGCTACAGATATGTGTATGCTCGCACATCCGTTATTGTAAATGTCACCTGGAGCTGCTAATAGATACAGCAGACATAGAACCTCTGCTATGAGAATCACTAGGCTGCCCCGAGTTGCCTCGTGTTCGAAAATTACAACCCATTTTCTTCCTTTCGTAATTGACAAGATTCGCGCACCGCAGAGGGCCTGACCAATCTGCCGACGGGGCAGTCAGATCTCTACCTTGATGCCAACATTCTTTTCGTTCTTCAGTAATTGGCCACAATCGAGCGGCTTCCAAGCCAGCCAGTCCTCTTCCAGTCTATGAGTCCACCTGAGAACCAGTGGGGATATCCTCTCTTCAGGCCCACCATCCCTGTCTTGACAGTTGCTTCCACGTTATTTTGATCGCCCGGGTCCAACTCAATCAAAGCCGGCACTGAGGAGCCATTCGCCTTTTTTTCATGGAGTGTGTATTGATCTGCTGCTGTCTGCTGAATTCGAATAACTTTCTTCCCGTCTCCGGTAATCTGCTGTGAACCCTCCCTCTTAAGAACCACCCGGCCCACCAAGAAGGGCAAATCTTCGCACAATACCTGGTCCATACTCATCGTACTGTCATGGAATTAGTTTCCGAACTTGGTATAATGAGAAATAAGGAAGTTTGACTTACCTCCGCCTTGGTGTGGCAGTACGACCTGAACTCGGGCGTCTGTCCCAGCAAGCTGCCTCCGAACCACGGACCGTGCCTCTGCCTCTTGTGCGTGATGACCTGCACCTCCAAGCCACCGCTCCTCGCTCCTCCGCTGCGCACCTCACTGGCGCGGATGCGGTTGTCGACCAGGTGCTTGATGTCCCGCTGCAGCCGGCGGCCAAAGTCCTTGTACAGCGTGCTACCACCCGAGAGCACAATGTTCTTGTACAGACCACGACGAACGTCGATGGGGCTGGACTGGATGACGCCGTCGACCACGGTAGGCAGGGGCGTCAGGAAGTCGGAGCTGTAGATCTCCGGGTTGAAGAAGATCTCGGGCGCCAGGAAGCGCTCGTAGCCCACGTCAACGGTGACCTTGCGGCCGCCGGGCTGAAGCACAGGGTGCTGGGCGAAGCGTGTAGGATCGCGGTCGAAACGGCTGAACTCCTTGACGATGTCAGGGCACACGTAGCAGTGCTCCTCCTTGATCTCCTGGGCGGTCTTGAGTGAAGAGTCGGGCTCGCCGCGGTCACGGAGGAGGGACTGGACGAAGTATGTGATGTCGCGACCGGCGATGGGGATCGACTTGATCGAAGAGCCGATGACGTATCCCTCGGCAACGGGGATGACGTGAGTGACACCATCACCGGAATCGATGACAGTTCCGGTCAGCGAGCGATCCTGCACCTTGGAGGACGTCCACGATGCTGCGAGGGCGAGGACGGCCTGCACGGCGATATAGAGACCGGCGCAGTTGAAAGACTCGAAGAAGATCTCGGCGGTGTTTTCTCGGTTCTCGGGAGGGTTCAGGGGCTTGGGAATGGTCAGCCAGCCGACGCGACAGCACGGGGGTCGGTGTGATACGTACGGGCTCGGTGAGAAGGAAGTGGTGGTCTTCAGGCTCTACTCGCAGGTACTTGAAGATGGAGTTGGACCAGAAGCGCTCCATGTGATCCTGCCCATATCGTCAGCCAGCCATCGTCACCAATCCACCACGTTGCCGGCTCCTACCCAGTTCTCTATTTGTCCATGGCGGATGGGGTAGTGTAGACCGTATCCTGCCTCGGTCAGATTGTTTCCACACCAGTCTTGCGTTCCGTGTCGTGCTCACCAGGTCCGCCAGATGCTGCTATTGCCTCATCGCCGATGAAGAAGTCCAGGTCCTCTGTGCCACGTTTCGAGTTGAGATGGCCGGACGGGCCAGCACCGCCAGTCAGGAAGGAGGGTTTGTTCGCAACAGCAGGACGGCCGGAGCCTGAGCCACCGCCGCCACCAGCTGCGCCTTTCGTGGCAATCGCGGTCGGGAAGACGAAGGATGGGGAGTCGTTGCCGGCGAAACCTGTACAGATGGGCCCAATGTTAACGAGCTGCGGTAACATTCGGGTGGGGCGTTTGGGGATCGATTGTACCTAGCTTGGAGAAACCCGTGCCGCTGCAGTGGAAATTATTGTTAGCATGATGCGTCCAGAACGGGGTGCAGCGACACCTCCACGCGCGAATAGCTTCATCGAGGAGGGCGGTGCTGGCTCGACCAACCCCCCTGGTGGAAGTGGGGTCAGGCAGCTCCAGCTATGCCGTGGGGTGCGTCCAGGGGGCGGGATTGACGTACTTGTCCATGACAACGGCGGGTGTTTGGGTGGCCATGATTGCGAGGGTGGGAGCTGCGCACAAATCTGGATGGGTTGGTGGTGGAATGCGCAGCTCTTGGTCGAATTGGCGAGAGTGATGGTGGTGGTGATGGTTGCCGTCAGTTGGATACTCAAGTCGTAATGCGGTCAAGCCAAGCAAGCACCGAAGCTAGCCCAACGTAAGGCGAAGACGGTCAACCCCCCCCCCCGACCCACCCCTGACCGTTCCTGTGGCGCTGGTGTGGCGTTGCTAAGAACTGTGGCGCCGCTCCAAGTGTGACTGCTGGCTGAGTACGGAGTACTTGGATGCAGCCTTGCTCAACTACAATCCTGTTCAAGCGCTCATCTTGGCGAACTTCTCCCCTTCAGGATTGCCTTCAAGTTCGTGTTATCGAAATCCAGATGACAATTAAATCAATTATATTACTCAGAATAACTAGCCTTTCAAGTTTTAGGCTCGTTTCTGGCACTGACGGGCCATGACAAGATGCTGAATCCTGTTTGTCAATGACACAGGCACACACGCCTGCACTCATCCAAGACCTGCATCTCACCTGCCTCTTCTGGCACATCCGAGGTTTTAAGCCACGCGCTGGGCCAGTGCAAGTGACGTCTAGTCGGGCCTTCTAGCCTGTCATCCTTGTGTGCAGGCTTTGGCTGCGGGGGCCAGAAAACCCAGTGTGTGAGTTCAGTATTTTCTCGGGTTGCTTGCACAACACACACCCACAGGGGCAACTCTTCCCGGCTCCTGTGGACATAGATCATTCATTACACCATCCAGTCATTCGCTTCATCACGAATATCGTCAGCCTTGAGCCACACAGTCGCTTTCGGCTGTATTTGTTTTCGCACAAGTGTTGCACTCCTGAATGCCTTGGTCCGAACACTGCCTTGGCCTAAGCATCAACCAGCACCTACTTGGTCTTGTCGAAAGATCATATACACATCAAGCCGTGAGGAGTCCCAAATCAGCTGGTACGTTTCTTTCTGTTGAAGTCTCCCTCTTTGTCCTCTTTGGCATATCTTCTTCCCAGCCGTCCCTTTCTTTGCTCTCCACCATGATATGCCGCAGGGCTTGTCCTGCCGGGCCATACTTCCCAGCCCCGTGGCGCCTGGGTCTCGTGGTGAGTGAATATGTGGATTCCGGCATCTCTTGACAGCTGGGAAACGTTTGCAAGAAGGATGAGTCCTTTTTCCAACATGTCCATGCCATAATCCGCGATCCAAACCACAACATCGCCAGCAGAATCGCGGATTCGCACCAATGCGGCCAAGTCGGCGAGCGTGAAAAGACTGGCCTATTCCAAGCCGAGAGTGATTCACTGCACCCTTCCTCATCTGAACTGCTGACCAAACCCTGAGTCCCACCAGAAGTATCTTCATTAGAATCACAGCCCCCCTGGCCACAATAGCATTCAAGATCGTGGACTCTTTCGGAAGTGTTTGACGTGGAGTTCTCGATTCGCTGACAACGGCGGCAGGGTCTATTGGCGAAAGCCTTCTGACTACTTCACCGTCCCCGGTCATTCGTCCAACGCTCAAAGAGAAACTACTTCGTCCTGTTACCAGCCAGACGTCCACCTTGCAATCCTTTCTGCTTCGCTCGAGACCTCCCAACTGAGTCGGAGCGAACCTGCTTTGACTTCCACGAGGACAGCCAAAGATCTTGCAAACATGGACTCTCCCGACCCCAACCGTCACTTCTTCGGACCCCTGACCCCCTCTCAGCTGTCGCCAGCCCCAGACATGTCGAAAGACAAGCTTGATGTGGGTGCCGACGGCACTGTCGACAGCCTCATGAAGAAGCGAGACCCGAACGGTGATCAGCGCCCGTCAATGGCCGTCTTCATCCACGCTGGCGCTGGCTACCACAGCCTCCAGAACGAGAATGTCCACCTCACTTTGTGTGCAAAGTAAGACCTCGCCCGACGCCTTCCTTAGCCTTGAACTGCTTCGTTTGGCCTCGTTTGTACTGACAAACCCCAGGGCTGCCCAAGAGGCCATGAAGTGCTTGAAGAGCGGTGGCTCAGCCACCGACGCCGTAGAGGCCGCCATCATGGTTCTCGAAAACGGCGACATCACCAACGCAGGCTATGGAAGCAACCTCTCAGCTAATGGCACTGTTGAGTGCGATGCCACCATCGTTGACCACTTTGGACGAAGTGGCGCTTGTGGCGCTGTTCCCAGTAAGTGACTTGGTCAACGCACCGCACATTCCCGTTCTTGACCTTCTAAACTGATTGAATTCTTCAGACATCAAGAACCCTATCTCGCTTGCGAAGCTCGTCCTTGATGCCAGCCTGAGGCCGTTGACCCTCCGCCGGGTGCCTCCCAACATCCTGGTCGGTGAGGGCGCCAAGAAGTTTGCCTTGGAGCACGGAATGTCCCTTGCGAACAACAGGGAGCTCATTTCCAAGAATGCTGTGGATCGTTTCAGGAAGTGGTGCGAAGACCTCCGCAAGGCTCAAGCGCGCGTTGCCCAACAACAGGCCATACCAACGCCGACTGCAATTGTACAGGCTCGGGCGATGTCCCCCGAGGAGGCCAAGTACAACGCAGTCTGCATGCCCAACACCGAGCAGGCTGGCCAGGCCGAGGTCCTCAGCGGACTGCAGTCTCTTGCGAGCGCCAAGGCTGGCAAAGGCCTCACAATGCGCGACCACTCGTCTGCCGTTCTCACCGGAATGTGGAACGAGGGCCAGCCCGACTCGCCTTCCGACTCGGCCTCGCCTGGCGCACCCAGCTCTGACCCCGTCACCCCTACCAAGCCGTCGCCCTTGTCGGCTCTTCAGAACGGAGGCCAAACCCCTACCAAGCCCGCTCGAGGCAGTGGTGCGACCCGCGCTCCCGGCGCTTCTGATGGCTCAGTGAAGATGTCCCGCGCCAAGCGCCTCAGGACCTCTTCCGACGAGCGCCTCGACACGACTAACGGCGTGAGTGACCTCTCGGATGACTCCTGGCATTGGATCGACCACACGCTCGCCGAGAAGCTCTTCAGCCAGCCCTCCAGCAGCAAGATCGACCTCACGGAGATGACGGCCGAGCCCGACAACGCCGACAACGACAAGATCACAGACACTATTGGTGCCATTGCGATCGACGGCCAGGGCAACATAGCGGCGGGCTCGTCCTCGGGCGGCATCGGCATGAAGCACGTGGGGCGCGTGGGCCCCGCGGCGCTCGTGGGCATCGGCACGTACGTGATCCCGCGGGACCCGGACGACGACGAGGCCCGCGCCGTGGCGACCGTGACCAGCGGCACGGGCGAGCACATGGCTACCACCATGGCGGCTCACAAGTGCGCGGACCGGCTGTACCACATGACGCGGGCGGGGCGCGGCGGCGACGACACCCAGGACGTGCCGGACGAGGGCGCCGTCATGGCCGACTTTGTCACCCGCGACTTCATGGGCCACCCGGGCGTGCGCAACCAGACCAGCTCCGGAGCGATAGGCGTCCTCGCCGTCAAGGCTACTTCTGCAGGCATCTACATGCACTGGGCGCACAACACGGACTCGTTCGCCCTCGCGCACATGGCCTCGTACCACAAGGCGCCCAAGTGTGTCATGAGTCGCCTTTCGAATGGGAAGGGCCCGGTCAATATTGGCGCGCTGAAGGTCTTGAAGGATCATGCGGCGGGGCTCAAGGCGCGTGACTGAGTGGCATGCCGCGTCTTCGATACATCCTTCCCCCGATGACCGATTTGCGCGGCACTTGAAACTGCATCAGCGGCGTTTTCGGCCTTCTGGATTCTTTCCTCTTGTGTTTTCGACCTCTACTGGTTCGATAGACTTTCGAACTCGTGGATCTGCTTTCCCCATCCGTTGTTTGAGCTGCGGTCCAGGATGGACGGCTGTATGCTTCGCCTCGGTTGGGGCATTCCGCGGTGGATGGACACGATTCGCATAATCGCATGGGCATAATACGGCGTTTATCATCGCATTTTCGGCTGACGATACCCTTTGGTACGGCTTCTCGTTGGGCTTTCGGTGGTCATCCGTGTTTTCCTTCTCGACTGGTTGCGACTAGATGGCTCGGCGGTGCTACTGCGCATCTTCGGCTTGCACAGCACAGGCATATCACGGCATATGCCCACATCGCCTACGTCGCCCAGGGGTATCTGATCCTCGATCGCGGAACTGGCCTGTGGAACTTGCAATCTTCATGCCTTTACGGCGGCGAACTGACTTTCCGCACATTTATTATGCTCTTCTTTCTCCTCTTTGTCGACCCTGCACTGCGGTCTAGCTTGGACGACTGCTGCCCAGGGCGATACCCGTCTACCCACCTATTGAAACAAGGAAAGGCTTAGTCCTTGCCTTTAATCTTTGACCTAGACTGCGGCACAATAGGGCAGCTCTTTTCTTTTTTTTTTCGCTCTTGGGCAACACGGCCCCGGTAGCCTGTCATGGAGGTTGGCCAAGGAGGAAACAGGAAAGCTGACTCGGTTGGGGATTACTGCCACGTCTTGCTCTCCAGAATGGGCGTCGAAAGTGAGATCGGTAGGCACTGGTAAGAATACCTTGGCTCGGTTGTTGCGGACTCTGCTGGGCTGGCTAGATTGCGCTGGGAGAGCTCGCGCTCCCGTCTTCCTGCTCGCTATACTTACGTAGCCTAGACTGTCTTGCTAGAGGGCACAATTACAGATCATCTCTTAGAACCTTGAAGCGGTATTGCGGTGCTGTGATTTGCTCTAACGCGCACTGTCTGTGTGCGTCTGTACGATGAGTGGTGCGAGAGGTTCCAGCTGCTCGCCGGTGTACATCTTATGAGTTGTTTGCAGATTTCGATGCTGCTATTTTCGATGCTATCCTGTCCGTATCATTTTCTCTTCTCTATCCCTGAACTGTCGCTTATACACAGGTACCAAGCCACTTGTTCCCATTGTTGTCCTCTTGGCTGGCTGAATATCCTAGGCATCCGTCTTTTCATGCGAGACTGGCTGGCCCGCTGGGGTATCTTATCTGATTAGGATCATGTGTCATATTCTTCTCGCTCTTTCTCTTTCAAATCAGTCATTCTAATGACCAGGTGAGCTAGACGGTCAGTGCTCGTTCGGCCGGACCGTTGGTTCGTCTTCCGCTCTACCAGCTTCCTATCGCCGAGGGGGCATGTTTCGTTCCCATCAGGGATTTTCATGCTTCGTTTCATAGCGTAGTAGGCTGCTCGCGCACGATCTTCACGGCGGGATGCAGATCTGCTCCCTAAAGTCTCGAGTCTTAACGCCTCCAATAATGTATCCAAGCACCTCGCTACATGTTTTTCAACCCGGCCTGGGCGTGCCGACGGCGCTGCTTGGCTGCTCGCTGCCGACGGGCTCCCCGTTGAGCCCGAGCTTCCTCTTCTTCTTCCTCTTGCGCGGCACGACGGCAGGGCGGGCGCCGTACGTGCCCAGAGCCAGCCTGTTGCCGCACGTCAGGCACTCTGCATCCTGCGGCACCTCGCAGAAGATGGACAGGCAAATGCTGCAGACGAAGCCCGTGTCGATGACCTTGCGGTGGCAGAAGCAGGCGGCGCGGAAGTCGACGCTGACGGTGGACGGGCTGACCAGCTGGTTCATGCCCGCGCCGCCTCCTCCTCCCCCGCTGCCGCCGCCGTGGCCGTCGTCCTCGTCGTGCTTGGGCCCGCCTGCCTGGCCTGCTGTGTTTGAGGTGGTCGTCATGACTGTGGTGGCGGAGGTGATGGAGGAGGCGAAGCCGAAGAGGAGGTAGGTGAGCAGGCCCTGGGGGTTGGCCGCCTCCATGAACGTGCCGCGGGTGATGTAGCTCGCCTGCTGGAGGAACGTCGCGCTGCCGTGCAGGGAGAGGATGTCGATGGGGATGCCGGCGTGGCTGGCGGCGAAGACGGAGTTCATGGTGGGGATGTACTGGGCCGGGGAGCTCTCGGAGACGGAAACAACGAGGATCCTGGCGTGCAGTCCTGTGAGTATGCCGGCGCGCTGGGCGGACATGGCTGAGGGGTTGGCGGCGGTGGAGCCGCCGTTCTTCTTAGCGGCGAGATTCGAGGCGTCGGCATTGTCGTTGGCGGAGAGGATCACGGAGGTCTTGTTGATGTGCGACAGGGCGAGGGTCAGGGCGCCCGAGATCTGGGTGGTGGTGGTGGCCAGGTCGGCCTCGGTGGTGGAGGACATGAGGTCGCGCAGGGAGGCGACGATGGAGGACTCGATCTGGGCGAACTGGGGGTACTTGTTGGCGGCGGCGGCATTGCGCTTCTTAGGCGGCGGTTTTGACGGATGGTCCGCGTCGGCCATCTCGATGTCTCCGTCCTGCTGGCCGTTCCCCTGTGACCGTGCCTCCTTGGGCTTTGGACGCGGTGGGTACAGCCATACTGCGCGGTTGGTATGGGAGGCTATCAGCGCGACCTGGTTTGTGCTGCTGTACGCGAGGTGTGAGTTGACGAAGACGAGGATGTTGGCGAGGGCCTTGGAGATGGGCAGGTCGCGCTTGAGGGCGGCCCAGGCGCGCGGGTTCGTGTCGATGACGATGGCACAGAGCGAGGGCGTCTCCTCGGTCGCGTAGATCTCGTAGTGGTCGGTGGCGTCGACAGCATCCATGTTGGGGATGTGCGCCGTAGGCCGGCGGCCGTGACCCTGTCGACTGGACTGCTGTTGGGTTCAAAACCCCGAGATTCGCGGAGAGTGACTGACTGCCGGGTGGGTGTGTGGTGGTGGTGAGGTGTGCAGTCGAGTCAAGGGGAGACGTCGATGCGGTTGGTGGCGGGCAGGCAGACGAAGCTTCACGGGTTGAATTCCGCGCCCAGGATGCCAGTCCTTGCACTACAACTGCCAATCTAATCTGATGTGACGAGGTCGTTGGGCAGCGGCAGCCGCAACGGCAGGACCCGAATTGCAAGCCCAGATCAGATGAGACCTGCAGCTAGCTGGGTTAGATACCTAGGTACCCTGATACCTTGTCGTCGTCCAACATGCCTTTGCTACTAAGATCAATGAGCACCATGGAACCGCCTGGGCAGGTACCTGCATGTACTGTCCCTTCTGCCGTGGGTAATACGGTATGGTCTTACGGTGTGGCACGGTCCGGTATGGCAGGGCAAGGTACGTTACGGTACGATACGGTGCAGGGGCCTAGCTCCATCTGCCCATTGCCCATCTCCATCTCCATTCTCCATCTTTTGTCCGGAAGGAGGGGCACAACGGCCACAGCAGAATCATGTCCATGCCCACGTCCATGGATGCTCATGTGCGACCAGACAGACCACTCCTGCCCCCAGGTGGTTGAGACTGCTCGCAACCTTACTCCGCTTATCCTTCGGCCACTCTCATACGCGTCAGCACCATCGGACGAGTGATTTTTGGACCTCCTCTTGGCCGATGAAGCGACTCTCGTGAAACCCGAGCCAAGATCCCCGCGGGCATTGCACGCGTGCAATAATAGAACTGCCCCTCAACAACTCGCTCATCTGTCTATCAGGCTATCGGTCGGTCAGTCAGTCAACCAGTCAGTCGATTAATCTAGCCTGCATACCTCAGCTCCAGCTATAGCTCCAACTCCCAGCGCGGGGTCCTCGGCTCCTCAACGCTTCTTTTGCCTTCGGCTGTCTTCTCCCAATCAAGCTGTGACCTAACCAAACCAAACCTGACCTGACAGACCAGGTCCAACATAGTCTACCAAGACGAAAGGTCCAGATCGCAGGGCCAAATCGATCATCCTTCTCCTTCTCTCATCTCATCTTCCCCCACGATGGAGACAGTCAACGAGTACGCCAAGCAGGACCTGTCCAAGCTGGGCAGGGAGGACCAGACGCTGCTGCTGTTCGCGCGGTTGATGGAGGGTGGCCAGGAGGATAGTGACACCGTCAAGGACTTGGACTCGCTCTCCAGGCTCCTACATGAAGACCTCGAGGCTAGGAAGAAGGAGAAGTCAATATGCGACGTCATCGATTCCGACTGCTTCGACACCATCCTCTGCTACCTCGACATGCGCCAGCCCGACGTCGTCCGCGGCCATGCCACGCTCACCGCGTCCGCCTACCTCAAGGCCTCCGGCGCCGAGGGTTCTAAGATGCTGCGCGACTTCTTCCAGGAGCGCGTCAAGCGGGGCACCTACGACGACTACATCGTCGCCTTCTGCGTCGCCGCCGCCATCTTCCCCATCGTCCCCGATCTCATCACCGAGCTGTTCCTTAGCGAGGGCTTCCTGCCTAGCCTAGGCCCGCTGATGCGCAGGAAATGGAAGAGCCGGAAGGTCGAGACGGCGTGTCTGGAGATGCTGAATGCTGCGTGCATGAATCAGCAGTGTAGGGAGGCCGTCCAGAAATACTGCGTAGAGTGGCTGGAGGAGGTTGTCGACCAGGACCCTGACGAGGCTGTCAAGTCCATGTACGTCCGTGGCGCCGACGGGTCACAAAGCGAGGAAGGCTCCGTCTCCATGCGAAGGCACTCGGAAAACGTCCAGCATCTGGCTGCTGTTATACTTGCCAAGTTAAGGGTTAGAGATCCCGCCTCAATGCGACACCCTTCCGTCGTCTTCGATGAGCCCGAGGAGCTGGACGTCTAACTGACAGTTGGACACCCAGGCAATACAACCCGTCCGCCCGCCAGACGGCAAGGGCAACGACCCTGAGCGAGTTCAGCAGGCAAGCACCACCATCGAGGAGCTGTCCCACATGTTCACCGACATGTTGGTCAAGGACCCGGAGCACTCGCGGAACAACTCCATCGAGGGTCTGGCCTATGCGTCGCTACGTTCAAACGTGAAAGAGGATCTATCCAAGAATAAGGAGTTCCTGAAGCAGCTCGTCAAAACCCTGGAGAACGCCCAACCAAAGTCACCACTTACCTACGGAGCCCTGACTATCCTGGTTAATCTCACTCGTTTCCAGCCCAACAAATCAGAGGAAGAGAAGAAGATGGACCAGCTCAAGGCATACGCCAATGCAGCGGGCAAGATTGCGCCTGATCCTCTCAACGACAACGAGCACGTCACAGCTCGGTGCAAGGCAGTCTTCGAAGCAGGCGTCACGCCCGTCCTGGTAACACACAGCAAGAACGGCTCCGTAGCCTCGCTATCCCTCATCATAACAATCATCAACTCACTCTCCATAATCACCAGCATCCGCGGCCAGCTGGCCCAGCAGGGCGCCGTCCGTCTCCTCATAGCAGCTTGGACCGCTCTTCCCTCCTCCGAGGCCCAATCCAAACGCGTAGCCGCCCAAGCCCTCGCCCGCATCCTCATCTCCACCAACCCGTCCCTAGTCTTTGGCGGCACGCGGCCCACTCCACAGAGCGCAGCCATCCGGCCATTAGTATCGATCATCACCCCAGACCAGGACGCCGAGACACGCGACCTCCTACCGACCTTCGAATCCCTCATGGCCCTGACCAACCTGGCGTCCACAGACGACGACACGCGCGCGGCCATCGTGCGGCAGGCCTGGCCCGATCTAGAGGAGCAGCTGCTATCGACCAACGCGATGGTGACCAAAGCGGCGGTGGAGCTGGTTTGCAACCTGGTGCAGTGCGTGGAAGCGATCGCGCTGTACGCAGACGGCTCGACCAAGGCGCGCGACAGGCTGCACGTGCTCCTCGCGCTGGCGGACGCCGAGGACGAGGGCACGCGCAGCGGAGCGGGCGGCGCGCTGGCCACACTCGCGGGCGTCGAGGAGGTCGTGACGGCGCTGCTGGCTCGCGAGCGCGGCGTGCGCAACGTCCTTGGCCTCTGCGCCGACGAGGCCAGCGAGGACATCCGCCACCGTGGCGTGTTCGTCGTGTATAGCCTCGTCACGATGGAAGGGGACGTCGGCACGCGCGCGAGGGGCAAGATCCGCGAGGAGGGCGGCGTCGACGTCCTGCGCGAGTGTGCGCGCCGGACGAGGAGGCCTGAGGTGCTGGACCTAGCTGTACAGGCTTTGAAGTTGATCATGGAGGAGAACTAGACTGTGCGACTGTGTATGTTGGTGTGAAGGGTTGTGATGCATATATCTTGTGAGCGTGTTTGATATTTCAAAAGTAGGACGGTACAGACGACTTCATGATACGTGTGATTTCTTCTTTTGGGGGTGGTTGGTTTAGCTGGAGTCTGGAATTTGCTTTTACAAGGCCTCTCAGTGGATTATATGTGAGTTTCACGTGGCTTTCGGCATTCTTCCGGGAGAGCAGTGTGCTGAACATCCCGGATACCAAGGAATGTATTGAGTCCTCTTGGATTTCTGTTCGTCATGACATGGTCAACATCACTTTGCTTCCGTCTCCCACGCTTCCGCTCTCGGTTGGCAATGTCGTGGCTGTAGGTGCCACGTCGCATCCATTTTCTCAGGCTCTACCCATAAGCTGGCCGCACCTTCTGATAGTGTGCCTTGTTCGAGGCATGTACCGCCAAGGGTTCTATGCACCAAGTCCCCTTGCTCTGGTCCATGGAGGAGCAAGCACATGACTTTAGCGCGGATCCGCCTGGTAATACAGCTCGCAGTATGTACCGCAGCCCTGGCCGAATACCCAGCCACGGCTTTGTGTCTTAGAAACCCACTAACAGACATGCATGAAGTCGGCACGCTAAGCCAATCAGTTACCAAACATCGACATGTCCTGAGCCAACTTAGGGCGCCCAACCTGCAGCCACATCACACGTAGCGAGTTACCAAAGGCTAGCAGCCGCCGAGGACTTTAGCACGTCAACCACCACGCACGCATGCCTATGTGTGATACTGCTGGAGGGGGTTCGCCCCTCTCCTGTGAGGGGGGGGGGGAGCCCGACGTATTTGCTAATTAAGCGCCATGAGGGCTCTGCTCTTTCCGTTTTCTCGTCCTACCACTCCTCATAAATTCCACAAATACACCTTGCTGTAATTTTCTCTCTAAAACGATGCAACCTACTTCGTTGATCCATTTTCGATCAGCTCCACCCTCAGACTCGGCTTGCGAGGCTTCCGAAATAGCGAAGTCGTCTTTTATGGGCGTGAAACTACAACACCTGCGAGAGTCTGCGGATTCAGGATGACAGGAGTGCCACCTTCGATATCTCGGCGTGATTCAAGCCGTCGGTGGCAAGCCCTCGCGTGCCTCTATGCAGATATTTGTGAGATCCAGGGGGCCTCTCACCCACATCCGAAAGTGCTGGGATCGCCGGATCGACGCCAATACCTCAGTCTACTTCTATACGAATTTTGGCGAAGCGAAGTCTACGTGGTCCACCGTGGGCGTTGGGCGTACCACAAGTGCACGAAAGACCACTTACGCAGCCATTATCCAAGCGTGGCTGCAAGCATGTGACGACTCTCATACAGGATGTCGCAAATCCCGCGATAACTGGTACGAACCGCATGCAAAATGTCCGGAACCTCGTGAGGAAAAGCTGTCGAAGCTGCCGACTCGTATCTTGGATGTTGAATCCACAGACCCTGATGTGATTAAAGTCAAAGAGATCGCCGATGAGAAGGGGCCGTACATTGCCCTCAGCCATTGCTGGGGCGGGAATATCGCAATGAAAACAACGCGGGCCAACTTTCGCACCCGTCAGAGGGACATACGCTCGGACGCTTTGCCTAAGAACTTCCAAGATGCTGTGGCAGTCACCAGGGCTGCTGGGCTGAGATACCTTTGGATTGACGTCTTGTGCATACTCCAGAACGATAAGGAGGACTGGGAGAAAGAGTCTGGTCGTATGGCAGCCGTTTACCAGAACGCACATTTTGTGCTGGGCGCCGACATGTCCACTGACTCTCATGGAGGATTCTTAGATACCGAAGAGAGTTAGAAACCCTAGCTAGGTCAATATAAGGTTCAAACCCAGCTCAGAGGTGTGGGTGCATCCATTTTCCTCTGTGACTTAGTGGTTATGAGCCCGGAGACTGGTTCTCCTGTAGCTATTTAATAAAGAGAGCTTTGTCCTGAGATACTCTCTAGTTTGAACCCAGACCAGAGCAAAAGAAGGATTATCACAGCAAAGGGGAAGAGCCCGAGCAGGGAGAGCGAAACGCCAGACCTAGCCAGTGTTCCTTTGTGTCCAGCTCTGCGATCTGAGGGGGAGAGTTAGAAACCCTAGCTAGGTCAATATAAGGTCCAAACCCAGCTCAGAGGTGTGGGTGCATCCATTTTCCTCTGTGACTTAGTAAGAGTGTGGGTATGAGCGGCAGGAAACACCTGTTGCTACCTCCGGTGGAGAAAAATCCACGATTTACGCCAGACACCAATATGGACTACATTTCAATCCCTGCCCCATGTTCACTCCCATTCAAACACCCGCGAACGGAAAAGACCGCAACCCGCTTCGAGATAGAGCATGGGCATTGCAGGAGCAATCCTTGGCATCTCGAATGGTTCACTTTACCGAAAAGGAAATGATATGGGAGTGTAGATCGGCATTATGGTGTGCATGTGGGGAGCTGGATATGGATATATCAGCTGAATATGAGAGGCTGCCTTACTACGAATCTTTGGTTTCAGACTCGACCAATAAATTCAGGATCTGGTACCGCATCGTCAACGCTATCGGCAATCGAGATATAACCAAAGAAGCGGACCTACTCCCTGCTCTCTCAGGACTTGCACATCAGTTCCACAGACAAGGCGCGGGGACCTACTTGGCCGGTATGTGGGAGAACGACCTGCCACAAGGACTTTTGTGGGCCCGGGGCATGGGGCCCAGACCGACACGTGCCAATCCATATCGAGCTCCTTCATGGTCCTGGGCATCCATTGGAAATGAGATTGGCCGGTACGATTCATCAAGTGGGCATGCGGACTTCAAAGCTCGTCTAGAGCGTGTATATGCGAAGATCCGGGACGCTAAATGCGTCCCCGATGGCAAAGACCCTCTCGGTGCTGTCGCAAAGGATCACTGTTATTTAGAGGTCTATGGACCTTTGATGGAACTGGTGTACCAAGGCTCGGACCAGTGGGATGCCCCAAACAATGCTTGTCAGATGAAACCTCCTCAGCTTTACGACTCCGGTTTCGACTTCCATTTCAACCCGGATCGGGAAGAAAGCTTATATTGCTTATATATTGGAGACCTGACTGCAGGGCCTGAGGACTTTAGATGCAAAGGCTTGATTCTACGGCAGTATAAGACCTCCCCACATCCTGAATTTGAGGAAGCCTTCGAAAGGATTGGTAGCTTTGGGCATGAGCTTGGAACAGTTGAAAACTACGCTCAATTCATTGAGATGAGGGAGGTAGTGATATTCCAGCCAGGACTGGGACTAAACGGAGCTCCAATAGACAACGAGTCGGACGAGTTTTTTTGGAAAACCTGAACTCAAATAGCTTCGACTGCTGCATGTACCTCTGCGGGCATATCAGCACAGGCCGTCGTTAATAATAGTACACCGGCACACAGGAACAAAAGCTTTGATCAAAAGTCTTGCTGCACTCCTTACACGCAACTGAGACCGAGGGCTGTCTCCGAACGAGGTGGACTGGGTGTAACAATCAATGAGGACGTGATAGGGACTTGTGCAGAGCTAAGCAGGCCACCACAAGGGGTCTTAGGCTTCCCCGGCCCACGGTCCCACCCTCTCGTGCCTGCATGCAGGCCTAAATGTCTACGGCATAGCCAAGATGTTTGTGTCGTGCAGCGCGCCATTGGAATGACGAAACCGTTTAGAATAACAATTAGATTTTAGCTTGAGGCTTACCTGTGGCTCTGGCCTTGTGGAACTGGAAGACACCCAGTAGGATTATTTATATATGTTCAGACCACCCGCCCGCCGCCGAAACCCTATATTGACGAATGCCGATATTCCATGTCAAAGGGGATGTGTTCATCCTCCTCGTCACTAACGCATTAACAAGCAGGCAGCTTGTTTTGAGCAAATCTTCAAAGGGGGAGTCTTTCGCCTGTCGTCTGCCCGAAATTGATATTTGCGTTGCCTCATCTAATCTCTTCACTCACCTTGCACACTTATTTGCGGGTTAGTTTCATGTGTTGATCGCTTCTACCTACAGTTATAAGATGCCTTGTAATTCCTCGGCTGTTTTGAGCCAGCTGCCTTGTGCGCGTGTATACGAGGTATCGCATTTGTCCAAGTATGACGAACGTGGTGGCAGGTCTATATTTGGCATTTTACGAGATGCTTTTTGTCGACACAACTATCCGTGAAGTCAGTTTCGTACTCGTATGCCTACCTTTTGTCTATCCATTAACTCCGCCCCGGTCTATCTATCTATTCTTCCAACCATATCACTCTCGCCTGGTCCCTCTTTCAATCCTGATGGTTCTGTCGATGTGCCATTAGCATTCAAGTCCACTAGACAATGCGCAAAAGTGCCCGAGCAAAAGTTCGGCCAAAGGCAGCCATGTGCCCATCTCTGTCCATGTCCGACTTTTGCCAGTCTGTCTCCAGGATCCAAACCCTGCGGAAAGTATCCTCTCCCACTCGCTCCAGTAAGAGGCTCTGTGTTTGGAGGCTCCCGACATGCTCATTTGAGAAGTTCCAACAGATGACCGCGGCAGTCCATTCACAGCTCCAGCACCCATTGACCTGTGATTCCGGCTTGCAGAAGCTCTCCACGGTCTGGTCGAACGTGGCGTCCGCGGTATCCATATCTCCACCCTCGAGATATACCGAGAACTCCGGAAGAACATAGCCAGTCACGGTCGCCGACCATGCGGTCAGGTAGAGGATGGGCTCCGGATATTCGCTCATGCCAAATGGTAGTCTGTGACCCGCACGGAAGTGATCGGAAATATTGGTGAGGTGCTCCCCGGCTAGGATCTCTAAGGATATGTCGCTGGGACCCCAAGACTGAGTCGGGCGCATTTGTGCTTCTTCCAGGAGCCACTGAAAGGGTCCGGACTGAAATGAACCTAGTATGAAGCCGTCGTCACTATCATCAGGGTGAGGCCTGGCAGCGGCATCATGGGAAGACCAGCCGTTCCAACCAGCCCAGGTCCAAGAAGGAAGCCCCCGGATGCGGCGCAGGGAATATCCAACGCCGGCCCTCCAAAGAAGGCCGTAGCCTGGCTGTCTTATGTTTCCGTCAGAGTCCAGGAGGAATGGGATGCCCCAGATGTGCATCGCCGGTGGCCGCAATCTCTCGTAGGCCCTTAACACCCCTAAGAAGGCATTCAGTGAGTCGGACGGGTACGTCAGGCTGCGCTTGGAGTATTCGTTGATGTGGAAGAATATACCGCTACTCGCATTTACTTGGTCATCTCCCCTGTAGTGGAGTATGGCACAGTCTTCTGTAAAGATCAGGCGTCTCCGGGACAGGAGGCCTTCCTGGTATGTCCAGCCGCGTGTTGACCAGGCCGACTGCTCCATCTGCTCAGAGTGTGGAGAGATCCTCGTACACACGAGACCGGTCCACGGTGGGACATGTCTCCTTTTTAGTGCCTTAAATGACACGCTTGGCAGGCCATGTTCGTCGTCGCTCCCGGAGGCGGCGATAATAGTCAAGTAAGCTGCCTCATAGATCGCGTCCATATTGCTGATCATATAGTGTTGCGTGACGCGCTCGGTGCTGTTAATACAATACCGGTCAACCCAGAGGGACCGCATTCCGAGCACGCGGACGACGTTCATCGCGTCCTGCACGGTCTGTGGCAGACGACGTCCGTCGAGGTCTAGCTGGAAACTCTTCAGGTCGCGACTCTTGTTCGGACCCCAGACGTAGCTCAAGGCCACATAGTCACAGCCCGGCTGTGCAGCAACCACACGCCTCGAGAAGCAATCAATCACCATAAGCTTAGGAAGCATCGCCCGGGGGTCGGAATCCTAGATTGGTCGCAGCTTTTCATCGGTCTCACGAAGCAGCTCTCGCATTTGAGGGCGGCTTGGATTCATGCGCGCCGCTGGTAGCAGAATGTTTTGATCCTCCCAGAAAGGGGGTTTCATCAATTTGGAACGCCACATCGGGATAGAATCTGTCTTTGTGAATGACCTTTTCCATGCCGACATGGATATGGGGCTATTTGAAAGGTTCTGCGGCGCTTTCGCCGCAAGAACATTGAGGTCTGGTTCGTAGCCGAGATATCCATATGATGAAGACCCCATGAATGAACGTTTCAATGCTGACATGGACATGGAGCTGTTGAAAAGGTTCTGCGGATTTTTAGCCGCAATAGCATTGAGGTCTGGTTCGCAGTCGAAATATCCATTCAACGAAGACCCCGTGACAGGGATTTCTTCTATGTTGACCTCTTGATCAACAGATTTTCTCTTTCGACATTCGCAATAGGTGGTTCTCAGGTACCTGTCGTTTAAGCCGAGGTGGAAAAGTCGCGCGCGTTCTAGACGATGACTCAGCTTCCGGCCAGAGTACGGCCTTTTCAGTTCATCCCTCAGAGGTGTGGCCGCAATAGCTTTGTGGCAAAAGGGATACGACGCGGACTTGCTTGTATTGTGGGTGTCGGACGTCTCGGGCTCGTCGAGATGGCCACGGTCAAACCAGGACGCAATCAGGAGGTAGAACAGGGGGAATAGGAATGCGATGAGAGAATTCCAGAACAAAGATAACTCTGCAGAATCCATGGGAAATAGCTAAGACCGAGGGAAGTATAGGATGATGAGAGGGGCTCGTGGAGTTGCTGTTTAGCACGTGCATCAAGTTTCTCCTACGTATTGAGAAGGCAACGATCAAATCAGGACGTTGTCAAGAAGTGAACCGGAGGATTAGGAATTCGATGGGAGAAGTCCGGGACAGTAGTCAATCGTCCAGAAGGCAAAGGCATTCACTAGGACCAGAACGACAGGACCCGCATCAGCGGACGCGTGCGCGCCGTGGTTTTGTCGGCGAACTGGGGCCCCTGATTATGTGACTTGGCAAGGCAGACAGACTGTCGTTGCCATGGACGCCAACACCCACAGCCCACCGGGAGTCATGAGCCTTGCCTATGCAGGTCAAAAGGACATCTTGACCGACATTTTGCGTAGAAGCTTTGTCACGTACGTTTGTGATTTCGTGCTTCTCCGACGCGTCTGTTTTCTTGACAGTCCCTCCTGACAAGTGGACCCCCCCCCTCGGCATTGTTATTGCACAGAGCGCGACAGAACAGCACTTCATATCACCTCCCATTCCGTAATGCTGTAAGCCGTATATTCTCTAACCTTAGACAGATAGACCACCGCTATTCTTCTGTCTTGGCTCTCCCACACCCAGGAACGTCCCATCCCACAGCCTCTGGATCCCCTGCACGGCACTAACCCCGAGCCGCACCCACTTCCTCTTATGCCCCTTCTCGACCATGGCGCCCACGGTGCCGTTATCATAAGTCCACTCAAACTCAGCCTGATTCGGGATAAGCTGGTCGTGGAACCTCGGCTCGGCCACCGCCTCCCGCATGTCCATGCCGTGCTCGAGCAGGTGCCACGCCGTCAGCGTGGTCGACGAGATGATCCTGCTCCCGCCCGCGGCGCCCGTGACGAAGAAGACGGTCCCGTTGGGGAACTCGGCGATGATGGGCGTGATGGAGCTCATGCACCGCTTGCCCGGGCGGATGAAGTTTGCCGGCGACGGCGCGAACCCGAAGACGTTGCGGGCCCCCGGGGTGCTGAAGTCGGCCATCTCGTCGTTGAGGATGATGCCGCTGCGGGGCGTCATGATCTGCGCCCCAAAGAGCAGGTTCACCGTCGTCGTCGACGAGATGGTCAGCCCGGACCCGTCCGCCGCCACGATGTGTGACGTCCCGTGGCTCTCGGCCGCGTACTCGCCGCGCGGGTCGTACTCTTCCAAGGGCAGCGTGCTGCTGTCGTTGATGCGGGCGCGGATGGCCCGCGCGTTCTGCGCGCTCAGCAGCGCGTCCTCGAAGGCCTCGACGCCGGGGAGGTAATCCGGGTCGCCTAGCTCGAGGCGCGCGCCGTAGGCGAAGCGCATGGCCTCTAGGAAGCGGTGGGTCGTCAGGTTCGTGTCGGAGAGGTCTTCGGCCGGGTACTGCTCCATTGTCTTGAGCGTGCTCAGCATCACGGCGCCGGAGCTGGGGGCGCCCGGTCGAGTAGAGCTTGAAGCCGCGGAAGTCGATGCTGATGGGCCGCTTTGGCAGGGCCTTGTACGACTTCAGGTCGTCCAGAGTGAGTGTCCCGTTGGTTTCTTGGGTCACCTTGACCATTTCCTCCGCTAGTTCGCCCTCGTAGAAGGCGCTGACTCCATGCCTGCCGATCTTCCCCAATGTACTGTGAGACGATGTGAGTAGAGTTGTCACTGTCATGAGCGATGTAAAGCTTACTCTGCATATCTCTTCCTTGTTACTACGTCTCCAAGCTGGAGAAGATGGCCGTTTGGTGCGAAGTCTTCGGCCCAGATGGGATCCTCGACCAAGTAGTTACCCCTCGGACCGGTGATGGCGTTGTCCATGTATCGTACCAAATCCTCGGTCACATTGAATCCATATCGTGCCAGATACTCTGCAGGGAGCACGAGATAAGACCATGGTAATGAGCCGTATTTGTTATGCAGATATTCAAGGCCTTTCAGCTCGCCAGGGACGGCCACGGATAACCCGCCCCAGATGGCGCCCTCGAGATTCCCCTGGTACATATCCTCATAGGCGGCGGCTGGCGCGGATTCTCGGTAGTCTATCGTCTCGTACTTGCCATTTGAATCACGGACGAGGGCGAAACCTCCGCCTCCGATGCCCGAGTGGTACATGCCTATCACGCCGACACAGAGGTTTGTGGCCACCATGGCATCCGCGGCGTTGCCCTGGAGAGTGTGAGCAGGCAGCAGTGACGGGTGACATAGGGGGGAACCTACGCCTTTCTCCAGTATCTCTATACCAATTTCTGAACATATTCTGCTCTCACTCGCTACTGCCCCATGGGATCCCTGGAGGGGAGCCTGCAGGGGCGCCTGGAACGGGCTGTTCCCGTAGGACAGAGGCGAAGCTGCTGCCGCATGGTAGAGGGCTATTGTGGATAGCAGCTCATATTTTAAGTTCTCTACGAGTTGGTTAGCATCTGGCGAGCCATAGAAACGGAACTCGAAGCAAGGCGAGTCGTGGGGGAGTCTCACTCATGCCTATCGCTTTATCAGCGGTCTGAACCGCAGAGAGACGGAAACGGAAGTGACCAAGATAACGCCAAATGAGTGCAGAAGGAAACCACCGCTGAGCAACGCTAAAAAGAAAGAATACCACCGGCTGCGGTGAGAAAGACGGGATTCTTTATGAGTGAGTGAGAGAAGTGACCAAGTGATTCAGCTCACATCGAAGGATGGTGGACGGTGAGCATGACGAGCTCCGGCACGAGACCGGCGTGCTCACGGGAGACGGAGTCGCGATTACATAACGGGCCGTCAGCGTTTGACCACACCAGCACACCTCGATCGAGGTGAGACATCAGACACGCTAACCAGATCGGGTAGCAGCGGTCGGGAGCCAATCAGGGCGCTGTTGAAAACAATTTCGAATATCAATTCCATCTCACTTGTCCCCTGCATGAGTGCGACAAGTTTCTTGAATAATTCTGCCTGAGTGATACAAATCCCAGCAAAGCTCCAGCGCCATCTCATCGGTGGCCTCGATGCGTCTTATCCCGACCAAACTCGCCAGGACTTTCGCATCAGCCGCATACAGGAAACCATTCACGCCCAGGCCCAACTTCATCCAGCGACAGCCTAGAATGGCGTCGGCCGTCACAGAACCTGGTGCTGAGCCAGCAGCCAAGACAGAGGCTCGCACCCAAGCAAACGGCAAGCGACCGTTCAAAGGCGGTCAGGATGGACCAAGAGGATGGGGAAGCAGCTCGAAAAAGAGAATGCCCAAGAAGCAGAAGCCTGCCAAGGAGGGCTCACATGAGGAAGTCCTGATGCTGGACATCCAAGCCTTGATCGAGGAGACGAAGTTAGCGGACGACGGCGCTGCTCCCGAGACTGAGGCCCCGCCTGAGAAGCTCCCAGAACAAGGCAGTGAGATCGAGGTTGAGGTCCTCAAGCTCTCCTCCACCGGCGACGGCCTCGCAAGGCAGCCAGGCTCAAAACAGATCTACGTCGTGCCCTTCGCAATACCAGGCGACACGCTCAAGGTTAAAGCGTACCGCCACCTTCCCAAGGAGAACTACTCCGTCGCAGACTTCAAATCCGTCATCAAGCCGTCACCGCTCCGCGACGACAGCAGGATACAGTGCAAGTACTTCACGAGGTGCGGCGGGTGCCAGTTCCAGATGATGGACTACGCGGAGCAGCTCAAGCACAAGAGGACAATCGTGGAGCGCGCCTTCAGGAACTTCTCGGACCTGCCGCCGGAGCTGGTCCCGGAGGTTCTGGACACCTTCGGCAGCCCGCTGCAGTACGGCTACAGGACGAAGCTGACGCCGCATTTCGACGGCCCGCCGGGCTTCCAGGGCAAGCGGCGCGGCGTCCCCAAGGAGAAGAAGGTCCTGCAGGAGATGCCTGACATCGGGTTTATGCTCAAGGGCGGGCCGCGCCGCGTGCTGGACATCGAGGACTGCCCGATCGGCACGGACGCGGTGCGCCGCGGGATGGCGCGCGAGCGGGAGCGCATGAAGAACGATTACGGGCAGTACGAGCGCGGGGCGACGATCCTGCTGCGCGAGAACACGGCGCGCGTGGCAAAGGGTGACCCCCTCCCCGACCCGCTGCCGAAGGACGCCGTCGTCGTCGAGGGAGACCGCCACACGGACATCAAGACGTGCATCACGGACAACAACGCCATGTCGACCGAGTTCATCGGCGACTTCACCTTCACCAACCGCGCGGGCGACTTCTTCCAGAACAACAACTCCATCCTCCAGCCCTTCACAGACCACATCCGCCAGCACATCCTTCCACCCAACCCACCCGACGGCAGCACCGACAACAAGAAGCCAATCAAGTACCTAATCGACGCCTACTCCGGCTCAGGGCTCTTCACGATCACCCTCTCGACCCTCTTCCCGGGCGGCAGCATCGGCATCGACATAGCCGAGAAGTCGATCGCCTTCGCGCGGCGCAACGCGGCGCTCAACGGGCTCGCCGAGGGCCAGCAGGCCACCTTCATCGCGGCCGACGCGCCCCGGCTGTTCGAGTCGGTCGCGCAGTTCGACCCGGACGAGACGGCCGTGGTGCTGGACCCGCCGCGCAAGGGGTGCGACGAGAGTTTTCTCAGGCAGCTGCTGGGCTTCGCGCCGCGGCGGGTCGTCTATGTTAGCTGCAACGTGCACACGCAGGCGCGGGACGTCGGGGTGCTTGTCAGGGGGGAGGTGGGTGGGTTCATGAAGGGGGCTGGTGGGGAGAAGGGCGAGGTTGAGGGCGGTGATGCGGAGAAGAAGACGAGGTATGAGATTGAGAGCCTGAGGGGGTTTGATTTCTTCCCCCAGACGGGGCATGTTGAGGGCGTGGCGATTCTGAATAGGGTTGACAGCTGAGAGAGGGTGCTGATATCGCCTGAAGCGCCGTACTCGCAGGAGGATCACTACATATGACAGCCCCGTTCCGCGCCCTCCCCTCACCCCCACCCCCCAGGGCCTCCCACCTAATGTCCCAATGTGTAGATACTGTCAGTACCATAGCCTAACTCCTTAGTACACTTATAAGACTCTCACAACTATAGTAGCTTTATGGTTTAACCATATTATTATTTTCATTTTACTTAAGTAAATATATAATAATCTTATACATTAACTTAAGGCTAAGAAATAGTTAAAAAGCCAAGCAAAAAGCAGATAGACTAATAAACAGTTGATTTAAAAAAAACACAGATTGGCCGAAGCCCCATAAGCAAGAAAATGGTCTGAAATCCCCGGATCATATCAACACGACTGCTTGTGAAGTCGACATTCCTGTGCCTATGGACGACCAACTCCTCGAAGATATGCCCTCTCCTTACACGGGCGCGGATGTCGAAACTAGTCAAGAATCCATCCCTGACACATTCCATGGAACGGAAGTCATTGTCCAAGCATCCGGGACGGTCAAGCTTGTTGGCCGCTATGGAGACGTTCTGTTCTTCCGCATGTCCACGAAACAAGGCAAGATCCTCAGCAAAATGAGGAAGCCAACCATCTCGTTCTGGCCAACAGAGATTGAACTCCAGATTGACGACCAATGCATATATGAAAAGTCAATTGAGCGACTTATTTGCACAAAACAAGGACCTCAACGGCTTGCCCAGTATTATCATGAAATGGAAGCCATCCGGGCGCAGACCATGATCGACCAAGGATGCGGCTCATCACCTGGCCTCCAACTCACATTGCTGAGCAAGTCAGCCAATACTGCAGGTGGAACACTGTGGGAAAACGGTGAGCTTCAGAGAAAGCTGAGGCAAGGCTCAATCTTCAAATGCACACCGATGCAGAAGTATGGAAGGGTGTGTGTTCGCGGTGTGCAGTTCCTGGTGCCACCGGAGGCCGATTTCAACACAGTAGCGATCCAATTCGAGGTCACTCCCGAGGGTACTCAACACGCGAACCAGTGTGGTACAAGCCTCGAGGACGGAGACCCGGCTCGACGCCTCGGGGTCAGGCTGAAATATACCTGTCGAGGGAATAACAAGGCAGAAGAGTGTTGGTCGAAGCTGGGTGGCACGTACAACGACAAGAAACTCAACTCCTTGTTAGATTTTTTGGACGGCGAAGCAACCACGGCGGTTTCTGGATCGCTATCCGAGTAAAGGGAGGACGAAGACAACGTACACATCTTAGGGCTTCATGTACAAAGAATGGCTGATGGCCAGTCTCTGCCGGACAGTTAGAGACAGACACAGGGCCCCTACATCTCCAATCTGAGAGGGTTGCGGGTGTTGCTGTCAGTCTGTACACAAAAAAAAAGAGCCTGGAAAATTCACCATGATTTGGGGCCAAGTCAAGACATCAATATCACTGCAAATTGATACCCAGCGCCCAGCAATTCCAGATCAGACCAGCTAAAAAAGAACTCTACCAGCATTCATGCACATGAAGGGTGGAGGAACTTCCTCTGGTTACACTTTGAATGTCAATATTGCTCTGCCAGCTTCCTGCCATTGCTATCCGTACAAGAAACCAAGCCCTCGCATTGGCATATCTTCTAACCTTTGTACAAATTTAACATCTATCGCAGCTAAACAAATGTAAAAACAAAAACTATGGATTGCGCCCACGATGCATTGTGAGATACACAGAGTGAGAAATAAGGGGGGGTATCACCTCATGCAAGCTTATCACTAAATCTCCCTCTCCTCCCCAGCACCTTGACACATACTCACGACCTTCTCCAAATAGATCGTTGCAGCCCATGAAGCAAGAGCCTATCATTTGTGTTGCTGGTATTGCTGCACTGGATGTTGGGTATGGTCGTTGCTCCCGGCCTAGGGCTTCGTCATGTTCACCAGCTTGGCCGTCTGCTCGATCCACTTCCGGGCGAACTCGCCTTCGCTGAACCTCCAAGCCGACTCCCGGGCGCGCAGGCGCATCTCGAGGGGGTTCTCCACTGTCAGCGCCTTCTCAAAGGCCGCGGCGAACTCGGCTGCAGTGGTAGCGTGGAATCCTGGTTCATCCTCGTCAGCACACTTTTCCTCCCATGCGACTTCCATATCACTTTGAATTATGGCCACTCACCCGTGGGCAAACCGTCGACCTCCTTGACAATGTCCAGCTTGGGCCCGCCGGAGTCGTGGACGACGCAGATGAGGCCACTGGCCTGGTACTCGACGACGCCGATTCCAAAATGCTCGTTCCACATGCCGTTGACGCCGACGTGCGACCGGCCCAGCCAGCCGAGGATGTCGGTCCACGACGCGTCCAGCTGGAAGTCCACGCGGCCGTCGACGCCAAGCTCGCGCAGCAGCAGCCGCAGCTTGTACACGCGCTTCGAGTCCTGGTCGTCGCGCACGCTGCCCACCAGCACCAGGCGAGCGCCCTTGGACGCCTCGCTGCCAGCCTTGATGAACTGCGCGAATGCCTCCAGGATCAGCGGGTGGTTCTTCTCCGGCCGGAACTGCCCGATGTACAGCAGGTTCTTCTCCCGCTTTGACTCGCTCGCCGCAGACACCTCGACCTCCTCCTCGAGCTCCTCGACGGCGCATGGCGGGTAGACGGTGGCGATGGGCTCGGTCTTGGAGGCTTCCCTGCGGCCTGGGCCCCAGATCGAGGTGACGTGGGCCTGGGTCCAGCTGGAGTTCGTCATGACCACGTCGACGGTTGCGCCCATCATGGCGTAGATTTTGGCAAACAGCTGCCAGTACCTGCGCTTCAGAGTGCCCCTGAGACCTTTTCCTTGGCCAGCGTTGACGCCTTGCGCGCCTAGGGGGTGGTTGGGGTCGAGTGAGTCGAGCATGTCGGTCGAGATGGTGGGATAGTGGACGTATGCGCCGGTCGGGACGTTCTTAAACAACCATTTACTCAGCCCAAGCGAAAAGGCATATCCCATGGTATCGATGAAGATGTCCGGCACGAGCAGGGAGAAGGCGTCCCATGCGAGAATCAGAGACCCGAACGACTGGCCGGCAAGTGTCATGCGCGGCCAGGTAGATGCCAGGACCCAATGCCTGGTGGACAGATACAGGAACTGGATGCTCGGTGGGTGGAGGTGTACGTTGAATCGGTCCTGGCAAAGGTCAGTCACAGCATTTAACAGAGCACCAGCTCATAGATGTTTAGGTCTCATCCCGCACCTTAACTCGACCCAGGATCTGGTCCTTGGAAGCCTCGTGGTCGCCCGTGTAGACGACAATCTTGGCGTTGGGCCAACGCTTCTGAGTAGCTCGGATCGCGGCCCAGAGCACTCTTTCGCCTCCACCTCCAGCATTACTGCTTCGTATCAGCATGAAGTTCCAAAACAGACCTTCGGTCTAGAGACCAGGGGCAGGTACCAGAAAGGATGGAAGAATCCCACGATGCCCGACCACTCCTTGTCTGCCTTGTCGCCCTTGGGCAGCTTCCCCTGTATGGAGGCCTCGATCTTCTTCCATATGTCCTTCTTTCCCTTCTCGACCTCCTCTTCTGGTTCGACTCCGGCCTTCCCATTGCTCAGATAGCTCTTCTCATCCTCGGCCATAACCTCGAGCAGCTGTGCCCTCCGGCCATCGGTCTTGTTTCGCAGGTAGGTGCCCCCTACGGAGCCTAGGGCCTGCCATAGAGCGGGTATTCCGAAGAGGACGAAGAAGGGAATCAACCCGAGCGGCAGGGCGAGCAGGGCAACACTCGTGGGGCTGAGGCCGAAGGGGCTCCACTGGTTCTGGCCGGAAGGCGCCTTGCAGGATGCGCCTCCGTCCATGGCGTTGGAGGGTTCTTCTCGTCCGGTCGGCCAGTTCGGTGCAGACTTAAGCGAGCGAGTGCAGTAACGGTGAATGTGGGTGGGAAAGTGGTGGGTGGTCTCGGTGGTGATGCGTCGGCGCGAGCAGCGTGTAAAGAGGGAAGGAAGCTGTGTTACAACGGGAACGACGGGGTGGATTCCAGAGGGTACTCCATTGAACAGCAGTGATTGGAATTGACCATATCAGTTGATAAATTCGGTCAGTCAGTATATCAGTCACAGGCAGAGCTGTGGCCTGCAGGACTTGGGCATTTCAGCAGATGAACAGATGAACAGACGAGAGAAGACACGACGAGAGACACGACACGACGCATGTTCCGGGATGCAGGGTTGCCAGAGCTCGCCATGATTTACTGCAGGGAGCCTTAGCAGCTGACAGCGGGGCCCTCGCCTTGCCTCGTGGCTCCGGCCGCGGGACGGACCCCTGCCCAGCCAGCCCACCTGCAAGCAAAAAACGGTGGCAGTAAACCAGGTACCTGCGTATCTATGTACCCATGTACCTGTCCGGCAACAACCTGAGCATCATCCTTGTCACTTGCACTCCAGGCTTGAAGATCCTATCCATCCGTCAGCTGCCTCTCCCAGCAACACACCAGCAGACTTGTCTTATGGATGAGGACGGTCCAGCACATGACCCTCGAGCCTTTGTTGTGAGCAGTCCTGAGCTCTGAGCTCCCACCATGTCAGGACACGTGGGCCACCAGCTGAGGCTCTCGGCCACGAGAATACGACCTTACCTCGGCCAACGTCTTCAACATGGGCCTCACCTCCACTCACACATCTTCCCCTCCAGAACACGACTATCGGCTGCCAGTCAGAGGAGGAATTTCGGAGCGGCAGATGCAGCAGGATACCTCCTGAAAGGCTCAGAGCTCCTTATCACCAGCGTCCATGAGGTCACGGCAACACCATGGTTCATCTCGCTTCCCCTGGTCGCCGTCGTGGTCAGCGCCATCATCAGGGTGCCCCTGACACTGTACACCCAGAGCGCGCAGCGGAGGAAAGCAAAGCTCGCGCCCTTGATCCAGGCGCAGTACGCCCAGATCGGCCTCGGTCTGAGGCGGAAAGCGGTGCCGAACGTCATGGAGCTGGTCACCAAGGCAGTCAAGACGAGAAGCAAGAAGATGTTCGAGGCCTTCGCAGTCAACGAGACCAGGTCGCTCTGGGGAGGCCTGATCAGCCTTCCCGTGTTCCTGAGTAATCTCGAGGTCATCAGGACCATGTGCGGAGGGCCCCGCGGCCTATTGGGCAGTCTGCTGTACGGGTGGCAGGGCCGGGACGCCGCACCGACGACGCCTTCAGACACAGCAGCCGCAGGCACTACGATGTCATCCACGACACCAAACACCAGTCTTGAGCCGCCTGTTGCGGAACTACCATCTCCCACTGACATCAGCGAGCTCGCATCCTCCACGACGACGCCAGAGGTCCTCAATCCGCTCACCCTGGAGCCCTCGTTCGCGACGGGCGGCTGCCTCTGGTTCCCGGACCTGCTCGTGCCGGACCCGTACCACGTCCTCCCCTTCGCCGTCTCGGGCCTGCTCCTCATGCACCTGATCCCTGAGACCGAGGCCGAGCTGCGGAACTTGTTCGGGATGCGTCCCCCGGCCGGGTCGCGCAGGAACATCGTCATCGCAGGGGGGAGGTCACGCGGTTCGCTGGCCCTCCGCCGCGCGCTGATAGTCCTGGCGCTCGCCATCGGGCCGGTCACCATGGACATGCCTGTCGCGCTGCACCTTTACTGGGCGTCGTCTATTGGGTGCAGCCTGGTTGTTACCAAGGGCATCAGGAGGCTCCTGCCTATACCGAAGGTGCCGGTGAAGCCCTGTTCCGGCCTCGAGATCCCGTTAATACGGCCCAAGCCGACTTGAGCTCCTTTTTGACATCATGACCTTTCACTGGATAGAAATGATGATGATTTTGGTGTGCTACAAATGTAATACACGGAGTTCTGGGAGCATCGGGACGAGCTGATACACAAAAGCAACCCTCTACACCGTCATGCAGAGGGAGATAGGGAGCATTTTGCCATAATCTCTCCGTGGGGAAGGGCACTACCCGGTATAATGGTTTCTATCAGCCCTTGCGAGCACATTCATTACGTTGCAAGACTACCATCACCGAGTTGTTCAGGACCTGGGCTACAGTGAGGTCTAATAGACCCAGAGATACTGTGAGCAAAGGTCGGAACCACGACTCTCCCGTTGTAGTATTGGCTATTGGCCTTCTTATGTACACATAATTGTACAATACCAAAGAACAGCCGTCTAGTATCTGAAATAACACCTCCAACGCCATGAAGTGCCGTGAAACCCTGCGAGAAGAAAAGGACCAAGCCAAGATTCCATTCATCATAACCAATCACAGCCACGACCTACCCAAGGACCACAGCCAGTATTATAATCGTGAGAATAACCGACAGGACCAGCAGGAGGCAGCACGCCTTTCCGCGCGCGTTCTTCTGGTACCGCGCGGCCTGGCGCAGCTCGCGGTCGGCGCCGCGGGTGTCCTCGTGGGTGCGCTCGACGTTCTCGGCGATGCCGCCCAGCTGCTCGCCCTGCTCGGTGACGATCTGCGCGACCTGCTGGAACAGCACGTTGAGGTCGCCGACGCCCTGCTCGATGTTCTGGATCTCGGTCTCGCGCTCCGCGATCAGCGCCTCCTGGAAGTCAACCTCGTCCTGCGGGGCCAGCCGCAGGTCCTGCTGCATGAGTTGTTGCTGCTGCTGGCCCGTCGGACTCATCGGGACCGTATCCCCACCAGCTCCGCCGGATTCCTCCTCGTGGGCCGCCGCCCGCGCCGCCGACACCGACGCCCGCTGCTTCTCGAGCGCCTGCCGCTGCAGGCCCTGGAACTCCTCCAGCGAGGACCTGAACTCCCGGAACAGCTTCTGCTGCTTGTACTTCTGCGCGGGCGTGAGCTCGTCGCCGCCGTGGTCCTCCCCCCACGTCTGCACCTTCTTGACGCCCTCGCCGACTTGTTTCAACGTCTCGCTCGACTCGTCGATGAGGTCGCGCACGCGCTCCCGCACGCGGGCCGTGTCGCGGCGCGTGCCCAGGTGGCCGATCTCGGTGCGCAGCCGCGACGTGTTGCCAGAAAGCGTGAAGAGCTTGTTCATCATGTCCTGCGAGAGCCGGTCGAACTCCGGGTCGTCGGCGTAGGCGGACGGCCGCGGCTGCGACTCCAGCGAGGAGAGCTGGTCGAAGGACATTGTGGCGGTGTGGACGGGGTTGTGAGGTGTTTTTGGTTTGGTTGTGCCCTGTCGTTCTGTGTTCTCTGATCGGTTGTGCTGTCTAAAACTCGGATGGGATGTGTTCTTCGAGAGTCTGGTGGAGGGTGTTTGGATTGTGGTTTGGTTGTCTGGGAGAGAGCACGAGCACGGATGGATCGACCGACTCGAGGCTGTGACGTCCCTCCGCTATGAAACCGGGTGCCTGGGGGTACGTGTAAGTGCGTTACGTAAGGCGCCTCGGCGGCCGCACCCGTCTCAGACGGTACTGTCAGTGGGGTCCAGCCACCTGTCTGCACATTCCTCTCACCCCCTACCCCAACTTTCCCCACACCCTCTGAAATCCGCTCTGGGATCTTGCAAGGCCATTGCAATTAACATGCTCTGTTTACTGACAGTCGTGACGGCTTGGAAGTGGCTGCAGCCACAGCGCCAACGAAAGATGAAACTTCAAAGCAGATCCCGGGTTCCTCTCCCTCCCCTTCTTCCTCCCTCACTCCAAATCGACCTTCAACAGCCCCGGAATGTCACCAGGGCCCTCGCTTAGGTCCAGCCTGCCCAAACCAGAAAGTGATTGATCTTTTTGGCGTTGATTGCAGCCATAAAAATCAGTGAGCCTTGTGCAATAGACTCCTCGTGCCCTTCCTTATCCTGTCCTTGCTTTCGTCCAAAGCTGATGTATAGTCAATTGAGTGTTTTGAGCACTTGGTGGGATTTGCGAGTCAACCAACCCTCCAGTGTTTTCCTGCGTCAGTGAAGCGCTGGATTTATAGACAACCGGTTTGACGTGAGAGGAGAGAACCATCTTTTGCTTTGACGGAATGTCTCGAGTGTAAGAACCATATTCAGCTCACCCGGAGAATGAGAACGAGTCGTTTATTTATATAGTAAGCTCAAGCTTTCTAAGTACAAGCCACTACAATGCCATACCAATAACGCTTCCCACAAGTCTCTGCGTGGCAGTTGTCATAGAATCCAAATCTTTGTCTAAAAGTGCAAGTTTCTTCCTCTTTGACATCCATTTCTCGTCACTAGACCAATTCTCCACGCGGACCGATCGATCGTGACAAAATGTCAAGATATCATCAGCGTATGCGTGCTGGTCGGTCACTTCGCAATCCTCAACCACGAATTGGATCAACTTATCCTGTAACTCATAGCTGAGATCAATGTTGGACTTGCGGTAATCGGTAGCGTCGGTGCTCTTTGAGGGTTCTCCAACGCTAGCTTCTGCAACAGCTTGGCCGGACTCGACATAACATTCCGAAATCCCTTGATCAGCCTTCTTCAGCGCGTCATGAAAAGTGCCAAAGGCATAGACAATGTCAACGCCATGGTGCGCAATTCCTTGCATGGGCCCTGAGAAGGGGTTGCCGATCTCGAAATGGTGATACTGTATACCCACGCGCTTGGGGTCCTGACCACGGAGGAGAGCTTGTTTCCCACGGTGAGCATTGAAGAATTCGTTTGCGCGATAAATCTTATGCATCATCGTGGCGTCAGATATGAATTCGGAGAATGCCTCAAAGAGCTCTCCAGCAGAAGATGTTGGCGAAATGCCGTTTGCTTCAAGAATCTCCTCGGCCGCCGCCTCTGAGGTATAACTAGAGGTGAAAAGAGAGTAGAACTTGGTGTATTCCCAGTTGGCCATCAGGGCAAAGCCTTTAAACTCGTCGGTTGATGCGCTCATCAGGATTTGAACCTTTTCGTCAGAAGACTTGGTTTCATCGCCCAATTCTTCGTGCCCAAGATGGACAGAAACACCACAGCCCAAGTCGCTTTAACGAATGGTCAATTCGTCGATGGCCAGTGTGAAAAGCACCCAGTGAAGGTCTGAAACACTGTCAAGCAGATCCTTGGTAGGTATTCTCCTCAACATGTCAACTCGATCAACTGGGTTATCAGCTTGGACTGACCACAATCGGCAGAGGTCTGCCCAGCGCTGGTCGGCTTTTCCCATCGATGTCAGTTCGAGACCAAATTTATATAGCTTAATATATAAATCTTAACTCTTTAATATTTATAAGAATATTATATAAGTATCTATTTAGTAATATTATAATAATATTATATATATAGCCTTATTTATAATAAAATCTATCCTGTTAACAAGAATGAAAAAAATGGAAATTTTATAGCTCTAGAATAGAATCCAAGGCAGTAATGATTTTCATATATTTAATCTGCAGACCTCTATCCGTGATAGACTGGCTACAGGATATGACCATCATGCTGAATTCCTGGGGATGCCAGTGCTTTGCAAAGGCAATACGAGTAATTGCCAGGGCAGCAGCGAGCATGCAAAAGCTATAAATACGACATATTGAACACATCTCTTTGCATACGACCGGGCACACAGGGCGGAACCTAAAACATGCGAAGCCCACAGTTACTATCATGGATAGTAAATGAAAATAAACCGAATGACCTTTGACTACCCTACCGGCGCCGGGACCGCCCCGACCGAGCCTAGAGGAAGACTATACCCATTGATAGTAGCATGCTCCCGGTCAACAACCGCAGTATCTATTCCAGAGAAATACACCCTTGGCCACTGATTTGGGGGAGGGCTGAGCTCGTAGTCGTGATCATCGTGAATCTGCTTGAAAGGGCCCCGGGCCATCTCAGTGTCACTCGTGGCGGCAACGAGCGTGCTGATATCGGTCCTGCCGGTGCTCTTGTACGACTTCTTGCCACTTCCGCCGCCACTAATGGTTATACGACCTGACTTGCCATCCGGGTTCTCGCAGGAGCGGCGAGAAAGTCCAACAGTGCGCAGAGTTGCAGTGAGGAGCCGGCGCAGCGGCGGCAGTGAGGCAGAGATGACGCCCACGCCCGTCTTGAACATGGTCCAGATGACGAAGTCTTTGGGGGGGGGGGTCTACACATATAGCATTAGTTTCGTAACTAACAACGATCGTCGAGACCGAGTTGGGGGAAGAACTTGGCTGCAAGGGGGTTAGCCAAAGAACACCCGCAAATCCACACGGGGAATGGACTGACATGTATAGTCGGCGTGAGCCTCACTAAACAGCTTAACAGTCACGTTCAGCTTGATGATGCTGGCCACGATAATCAGGGCACCAAGCATGAAAACGCCGCTTAGGGCGATCTTTTGCGATCTACTAATGTGCAGCTTATAGACATCATGGAGGGGAAGCAACATAATTCACAGGTTGGTGACGATATTTGGCACGGCGTTCCCGATGAAGAAGCCGTTGTTATTGATACACTTGGAGTTAGGATTGACCGAGTGCTGCAGGGAGAGCTCCCAGGCAGCGTGGATGGGCGTGCACCGGAGAATGGTCACCAGAACGACGGTGAGCCACCAAACTACCGTGAAACCTCCCAGGCCGATCAAGCTCCATTTGATGAACTTGGTTGAGAATATGCAGAAGTACATGCAAAGAACACTGGCCTTGATGCATGCAATTATGGACGGGTAGACGAATACGCCTACGTAGAGGCCCTGTGGACATGCTCGTGTAGTACACCTGCACATAAATGCGCGGCCCGGCCAGTGGTCTCACAGGCTCCTCACATGCCAAATCAGATCCAGTGCGGACGGAACCTTACTTAGTAGAGCCAAAGTTCTGGACAATGGTCTCGACATTGGCGAAGGAAAGCTTCGACATGGTCTCTTTCCACAGGCGTTGAGTCACGGCTGGAGCCTTCTCCGAGTATGCAAACGGGCGCCGTCTATGATAGGGCATTCCAAAATGTCAGCAGGCTGGCGTACAGATATGGCGAAAGAGTGTGAATTAAATGTTGTAGACCTGGGAGAAAGACTTACGACATTATTTTGTCAAACTTGATGACCTCGCCCGCGTGAGTCCTCGCCCTTGTTGAGTGCCGCCTTGAGGATGATGTGGGTACTGACTTTAGGTTTGCGGCTGAGGAGGGCAAAATAGACAGCAAGCGGGAAGCGGAGGAAGGTGCTGGCGCTGTTGCGGCCTAGGCCCGAGCCAGAGTAAAGCCCCGGCGAGCCGGCGTTGATGATGACTTCGGAGGGCGGGACGGGGGTGGCCAGCTCGTTGAGGAACATCTGGCCTAGCAGCTTGAGGGTGCTGAAGCGCTCCTGCTTGTCCTACTTCCACTTGCTGCTTATGTCCTTAAGGGCGGCTAGCAGCGGGTTGGCGTTGCACTCGACGAATGAGGTTATGCCGGCCGTGTTGAATGACACGATGGTCAGGCGGCCGGGCTCGGTGGGTGAAGGCTTCTTGGCCTGGAGGATGGGCAGCAGCAGGGTGGCGAGCAGGTAGGTGGAGAGGAAGTTGGTCTGGATGTCCTTCTCGTTGTGCGGATGAGGGGTTGATGGTTATTTTGATATTGTAGATGCGCGTGTTGAGGATGGCCATGTCGGGGTGCTCTAGCTAGCCCGCACGTGTGGCGAACGCCGTGACGCTGTCGTAGCCAACAAGGCGGATTCTCGTTGCCCGCGCCTTCCAACATGGTATCCAAAAAGCTATTGTGGTCCCCCCACCACATCATGCGTCCCCCCAGTTGTCATTTTCGCACCCACTGACCCTCTGTCCCCTCTACTGGGAAAATGGTCCCGGTGTCAGCGTGTTTCTCGTAGTCATTCTGATGCTGCTGTTCTCTGCGACGCGGTCTCAATCGTAGCTTTGGTGAATGGCTGTGGAGCTTGGGCAATGGCTCTCGCATTTAATAACTTTTGTGGGAGGGCATCTGGAGCCAGAGCCAGCTCACGCTGGGCGTCCCGAACTGTAAGCATTAGGACGGCTCGGAGGACAAAGTGGGCATCATTTCCAGCATTATGGAGGGCAGTGAATGGAATCTCAAGCTCAAGAAGCAGCTTCTCTAAGCTACATCTGTAGGATAGCTGAAGAGGATATTGTGCAGCTTTAACAGTATCGATCATATAAAGAGGGTTGAGATGAATATCAAGGGCTTTAAGGGCCCAAAGCTCCCTGTGTCCTCCGTGGAATATAATGATGATATTCCTGTTCAAGGTGAGTAATTGAAGTTGATCCTTGAGACCGGATAAGGGTATTGTTTCTAGGTTTCCAAATAGGAATTTGTTGGCTTTATTCCGGGCGAATTTAGGATTGCCAACAATGTAATGATGAGATTCGACGGGTTGCTTCGCGGTAGCCATACTGGTAGTACTGGCCACAGGCGTGTTCAAAGACTCAGAGTCAAGAACTGATATTCCCACATGTAAGTTTTGAATAAGACCATCGTGTTCTTGGAGCGAGTCGATGTCGATGCTAAGGAATCTTATATTGTCTGGGTTCTTGCTGGGGAATTGCGGCTGCTGAACACCTGAAGGTAGAGAATCGCTGTCTTGAAACCCAAACAACCATCGGAGAATCAAAGTCTCGTCCCTAAGGAGACCGGTGTGAGGTGGCATTGCCTCGTTTGACTCCATGACTTTGAGGGCAGGGTTGACACGCAATTTGGGGGCGTCTTTTCGCGGAGCTTTTCGCGGTCGGGTGGTACGGAGTGGATTGGCGGCCGGTTGGCGTTCTCTGCTGCAGTACTGGTGCCTCTAGTGTGCCGTACCGATCAGGTAAATCCGATCCGAGCTCTCGGTTCCCCCCAAATTCATTCATTTAATTTGACCGAGGCTGTTGAAGTTTTGTCGAAAAAAGCACTTCCTGTCCCCCTCCCAAACGTCCCGACTGGTCGCAACACGCAGCAGCTCGTTGATTGGTAGTGCCGGGCTTCCTTGTGGACGCAATTAGACTTTGTCGCAATTGCCACGCAGGTATGTTTGATTGATGGAGCTTTGATTCGCAATGCAAGGTGGCTGATTGAAGGTGGCTGATTAAAGGCGGCTGGCTGGTTGGCCGAGAAGAGTTGTGTGGGGACGGTGACCCCATGTTATAAGTCAATTTTTTTTTTGGTGAAGTAATGGTGTCTGCCTTGGAACCTCTCCAGTTCTTATCTCTAACTCACAAACCTCCTCTGCCTGCATGACTTAGCGCAAACTCCTTACGTAATTTAGGTAGGGAGTTTGCTAAGACTTATATAACTATAGTTAGAAAGGGAGGGATATTACGCAGGTAGTAAAGGTTTATAATTAAATTATAATTATAATTATAATTAAAATATTATAATTATTTATAAAAATTAAGAATTACTTATATTATTATAAAATTATATTATTATTAAATATTAATATATACTTTAAAATTTATAAAATTAAGTAATTATTTTAATATTATTTTTATTATATTTTAACTTTTATATTATTAATAATAATAGCTAATTTATATTTAATATATATAAATTCTTAACTTTATATAAACTTTTAAGCAGCTTATTAATATTTAATAACTTCTTTTATATTTAATTATTTATATATTAATATATTAAACTTATTTCTTTTTTTATTAAATATATTACTTTTTATAAACTTAATTTAAATAATATAATATAATTATAAAAGTTTTTAAATTAATATAAATAATATTATAAAATTAAATTTTAAGTTAAAAGCTATTTATAAAAAAAGTTTATTTAAAAGCTTTTTTTATAATAATTAAAGTTTTAATAATAAGAAAAGCATAAAAATATTATTAAAAAATATTATTTTTAAAATTTTAATATTATAAAAAAAGCTTTATAAAAATATAAGTAAGAATATAAAAAATAATAAATTTTATAATTTATAAGCATTTTTTATTAAATAATTAAAGGATTTATATTATATATTTATAATAAAAAATGCTTTAAAATATCTTATTATTTACATAATGCTTAAGTTATTTAAAGTTATAATATATAATTTAAATAAAAAAAAGGAAAATATTTCTTTAATTATATTTTTATAAAAAAAAATAATTAGCTTTATAAATAAAGAATTATTTTTAATTTTTAACTTATTTAAAAAAAAAATAAGTTTTTAAGTATATTAAGCAGCTTAAAAGTAACTTTAAACTTTATTATTAAAATTAATTATATTTAATATAATATTAATTATATATAAATTATTATAAAGTAAAAGGTATTAAACTTACTTTTTTTTTTTAGCTTCTTTAAAATTAATATATAAGTTATAAAAAGATATTTAATTTATTTCTTAATAAAGAAAAGGAAATATAAATTTACTTTTTATTATTATATCTTATATATAGCTTTATATATAAATAAACCTTTTTTTTTAAAAGCTTTTTAAGTTATACCTTTTTTTTAATAATATATATATTTATATAATTAATATACTTATTAATAAATTTATATATAAAGTTTATATACTTAAAGCTATAATTAATAAATATAAATATAGGTATTTATTCCTTATATAATATACTTAAGATATTATATTATTAGCTTAGTTAAGAAATAAAATAAATATATTTTTAATTAAGCATAAATTTCTTATTTTAATTAAATAAAGAATTTATACTTAAAATAAATACTTTTTCCTTATAAAATATATTTAAAATATTATATTATTAGCTTAACTTTAAGATAAGAATTATATATTTCTTTTTAAGTATAAATTTCCTACCTTAATTAAATAAGGAGTTTATATTTTAAATAATTAATAAATTTATATTTTAAAATTAATAATATTTATAAGTATAAGTATTTATTTATTATATTAAATTTTAAATTATTTATTAAATTATATATAAGAAATTATTATTTAAAACCTTTAATAATATATATATAATTTAAAAATAATAGTTTAATATAATAACTTTAACTTTTTAAGTAAAGTTTAAAATTATATTAATAAAAAGTAAAATTAATTTATAAATTTTATAATTATAATATATTTTAAAATATTAATTAAAAAGATAAATATATTTAATAAATAAACTTTAACTTAAAGCAATAATTTATTATATAAATAACTTAAAAATACCTTTTCTTATAATAAAATAATTTTAATAAAACATTTAAATAGCTTTTCTTATATTATATATATTAATTATTTACTTATAATAATAAAGACTTAAATTTATTATTACTTAATATTAATTATATTAAGATAAAGTTTTTTAAAATCCCTTTTCTTTAAGTTAGTATTATATATAAGGATAAGGGTAAGATATTTAGCGTTTATAATATATATAATAAGCTTTTTAAAAAGTATTTATGCTTAAATAAAAACTTTTATAAAATATATATTATTTTAATATATAGTAATTATAAAATAATTAGCTATATTTAATATATTAAGTATAATTAATAAGAATCTTAAGATATTTATAAAGTTTAAAGATAAATAAAAGCTTTTTTAATTAGCTTTTATATTAAATTAAATTATATTAAGCTTTTTTTTTATAATTATTATAATATTAAAAATTTAAAGATAAAGTTCTTCGCTATTATTTTTTATAATATATTATTACTTATATAAATTAAATTTATTAATAAAAAGAATATTAAATATTATAAGGTTATATTATTATTTTATTATAATTTTAATACTTAAATTATTACCTTTATAATTAATGCTTTAATTTAATATAAGCTATTAATTATTAAAGCTAATAAAGTTAATATTTAATAATTTTATAATATAATAAAGTAAATCTTTAATAAGGTGCTTAATAATATCTTAAATAATATTTATTAATTAATTTTTAATTATAAAGGTTAAATAAGTAAATATAAGGATAAGAAAGCAATTAATATTAAGTTTTAAAGTTAGTATTAATATATAATAAGTATTAAAATACTGCTTATTTTTAATAAGGCTATTTAATATAATAATTATAATTTTATTTATAATGTTATTATATAATTCCTAGCCTTTTTTTAAGGCGGGAAGTTATATAATTATAAACTTAAGATGCTTAATATAGCTTAGATTTTAATTAAAGAGGTAACTCTTAATAAAAGGGTTTATAATAATATTTTTAAGGTTAAGCTTATTAAGTATATTATTGCTAAATATAGCTTTAAGCTTATTAATTAAATTAATAAATATATTAATAGTTTTTATATTATAAATATTAAATATAATAAAAACTTAATATATAATATTTAGTTTATATTTACTTAGCTTGCTTAATATAGCTTATAAATATTAATTATATATAAAATTATTAAGAAATTCTTTAGTATTTATATAAAAAGAACTTATATATTTAAAGATTTTAAGGATAATATTTTTTAATTTAGCTAAAAGTTATATATTAATAGTATTATAAAATAATAATTAAGGCAGCATGGCTTTAACTTCCTTAATTTTATAATAAGAGGATAAAATATCTTAATTAAGAAGCTAAATATATAAAATTAAATATTTTTAAAGCTTAAAAAAGGTATTATTTAAGGGATAATTCTTATAATTAAAGAAGAAAATCTTAATAATAAAAACTTTTTATTTATTTTTAATAATAATAATTATTTATATTATATAAAGGCTAATAATATATAGGATATTAATTTTATTAATTTAATATAAGAAAATTAATGGCTTAAATAATATAATAATAAAATTATTAATTATTTTTTTAATAGGGAGT